ATTTAAATATATTTCTCAAGGGCTTGGGCCGGGAATTCCGGACCCCCTGGAGGATTAAAAGGATTAAAAGGATTAAAAGGATTAAATCATTTAATCCTTTTAATCTTTTTAATCCCCCAAAGGACTCTGGAGGATTAAAAGAATTAAAAGGATTAAATCATTTAATCCTTTTAATCCTTTTAATCCTCCAAAAGGCTCTGGAGGATTAAAAGGATTAAAAGGATTAAATCATCTAATCCTTTTAATCCTTTTAATCCTCCAAAAAGCTCTGGAGGATTAAAAGGATTCAAAGGATTAAATCATTTAGTCCTTTCAATCCTTTTAATCCCCCAAAAGGCTCTGGAGGATTAAAAGGATTAAAAGGATTAAATCATTTAATTCTTCAAATCCTCTCAATTATCCAAAAGGCTCTAAAAATTATCAGAATCAACCGGAACAAAATGGTACCTAAAGGTCTCTCGATCATACATATACATATACATATACATATACATATACATAATATAATATATGTATATATATATACATGTATATATATATATATACATACACATGTATAAATATATATATATATATTATATACATGTTGCATTGTTGTCCATGGTTCATGATCATTTTCCTACCTAAAATTAAGATCAAGTCTCTTCCATTTTGAGACAAAGCCATGTCCCCGAAAAAGACGTGCGTTCTGCTTGAGGTTCCAACCTTGGATGAATGGGTGCCTTGGCCCGAAGGGAACCCAGTTGGGTAGCCTGAAGGGGGGCGGTAGATACTTGGATATAACATATCTTACCATAAGATTCAATGTGGGGAAAAAAACATAAACCGTAAACCATCCATTTGGGAATGGTTTATACCACCTATAAACATGTTGAATGCGGGGGACATTATATGAATTCATAGTTACACATATTTACATATATCATGATGTAAGTGTAAACGAGGATCCAGAATATATGACAAGAGAGAGGGAATGAACTTCTCCATCTATAATACACATGGGTTGGTTCAAGGGTAGACTATTTTTTCTGTTCTACCAGAGAAAACTAACTTACTTGGAATTTCAGTCAAGGTGAGACATTGCCTGTTCATTTCCAGTGACTCCAGTGCACATGCAATGCATCAAACTGGTGAGGTTTAGCAAATGGCCTTTTCGATGTAGTGCTTGCACATGCTGACCGGTGAGATCAGTAGGTTCAGGGAACAACCTGAAAAAAACATGTCGCTGGTATTGTGGAGTAATTGTGAAGATTGTGATGTTTGTACTCCGCAAAACGTGGCTTCAACATGTTTCAACATCTCAATATGTCAATTCAGGATCATTCAAGCTCAAACAGGAGCTGTTCGTCACGCCATGACGAACCCAAGAGAAGATGCACTGGTCTTGTGAAGTCCCCGGTGCGGGACCCATCCCCGCTGCCCCGCAGAATGGAACATGCTTGCCACTCTTGTCTTTGGCGGAAGGCTGACATTCAACAGGACCATAGAGTCCTTGAAAGATTTCTTTTCCACAAAGTCTGACCTACATATTCTGTACGGAAGTTTCCACGGGCATCGAGGTTCCTGGAAATTGTCTGAAGGATCTGAAGGCAAGTTCCTTGGGCTGAGCGGCATTCTGGAGCAGTGGGATTTGGCAAAACAAAACGGAAGGGCTCGCCACCTTCTGATTGTTTCTGATGCCTGTGAGTCAGCGCCAATGGCTAAAGAGGCTACCGGACTTGCCAGGACAGATATTTCTGTGCAAGCATCCTTTGCTAGCTACTGGTGACAATGAAGGAGACACATTCACTGATCTTCTGCTGTGGGAGCTGCAGAAGTGCAACATAACCAACAAACGAGACCATGATATGATTTATGACATAAAGCCGGCCCTGCTATAATTTGGCCCATCCTTTTGTTGCCCAGATCAGCGCAAGATTCAAAACCGGGTCTTCATTTCAGAGAATGAAGCAACCTCTTCCTCAGGTGCTTCGATGCCATCTGGTGACTCAGACTGTTCCAGCCAAGGATTGCTTTCGCCAAGCAGGAAGACAGATCCTTCCACACAAGCTGCTCCCGAAGGCACAAAGACACATCCTTTCAAAGGGGGCTGTCCCCGAGGCAGGAAGACACACCCGGTCAAGGTTGCTTTCCCAAAGGAATGTTGACATAGTCGGCCAAGGATTGTTTTCTCCAGCGCAAGAAGACGCACTTGACTTGACCAAGGGGGCGCTTATTCCCCTCGGTTCATGAGAAAGTTTCCAGATGCAGAATCACCTTTTGGGACGTAGAATTCCCATGGGAGGTAGTGCTCCTGCCGCCGAGATGTGAGTGGCTTTGATATCTGGAGTAAAATTGTGTGTGTGTGTCAGCTTTCATTTGCAACTTCAGTTGGCAGCGTAGCTATTGTGCCCATGACCACCTCAACTGACAGATTTGGGATCCAGTGCCAGTAAATACATTGTATACTTGCAGCCATCCCATCGACCAACATCGACCATGCTTTAAAGTTGGTAAGTTGATTGCGCTGTCTTGGGTTGACCAAAGATAATGTTGCTGAGGCTTATTACTTGCGAATTGAGCCGAAAGACAAGGAGAGGCGGAATTGCACAGCCAGAACTCAAAAAAAATCAATCTCAAATAGTAAACCATGTGCGGACCTTCTTTGCTTAGGGTCGACAAGTGATTTCGGGTGGAGTGTAGTACAAAAACTGGATTCCATTGTTTGTAGAGTATTGGAAACTAGATATGGGAATATGATTTAGTTTGGAATTGCACTAGTTTGATCTTTATGGTTGAAAATACATCATAGGATTAGAGCCATGCGGGTCTGATTTTAGAATATTTTAGACCAACTGACAGGCCCTGGTGGTGAAACCCGACCTGCAGGGCTGTGAATTGCTCTGACCATATCCATATGGTTGATTCGTTGTGTGTCAAGATTTAAGACCTAGGAGCTGACTTACTTTAGAGCCAAAACCACACCAGTTTCTAAGGAAACCCAAGTTTGAATCACAGTCATTACGTTTCTAGGCTTGCTTTTCCATTGTTGCTTGCTTCAGTGCTATTGACACACACACATGCATATATATATATATAATAATATATATATATATTTATTTATATCATGCACAGATACATACATGCATATTTGCATACTTGCATACTTCCATACATACTTACACACTTACATACTTACATGCTTACATCCTTACATACTTACATGTTTATATACTTACATAGAGACAGAACATACATAACATACATAACATACATTACATACATTACATACCTTACATACACAACATACATAACATGTACACCATACAGACCATACATACCATGCAGACCATACATACATACATAACATAACATAACACAACACAACACTACACTACATTACATTACATTACATTGCATTGCATTGCATTCCATTACATTACATTACATTACATTACATACATACAGATACATACATACATACATGCATGCATACATACATACATACATACATACATACAGACAGACATACATACATACATACACACACATACAAACATACCACATACACACATACACACATACAAACATACACACATACACACATACACACATACACACATACATACACACATACACACATACAGACATACAGACATAGAAACATATAGACATACAGACATACAGACATACCGACATACAGACATACAGACATACAAACATACAGACATACAGACATACAGACAGACAGACATACATACATTCACATTGTGCAGAGAAATTATGAATTATGAGACACTAACATATTAGATGTACACACGTTTACGAGCATGCGCTCAGAAATAATGTGATATTCAACAGTGTGAACATGTTGCTAGCGTGGTGCTGACAGATCGTTCGCTTGTTTAAATAAACCCTAACAAACTCGGCCTCTGAAAAGGAGCACCTGGCAACTGCCTTTTTTTGGACAAAGACATTTCCCGGTTTGTCTGAGCATAGGACCTTCCTATGCCCACTCTTTAATCATGTTTTTCCCTTTCAAGATGGTCAATTTGTGGGGTTATAACATGTTATAACTCCTTTCCAGGCCTATGTCTATGAATGTTTTCGCCCTGGGGCCATGTGCACTTGCAGGACTTGCTGTGGCTAGTGCGAGCGATGATCCTCGGAGCGAAGGGGTGCAAGCGTTTTTTTGCTGTTTTCATGCGGGTGGCCTCTCCAACTCTCAAAGCATCCCCGAGATCCTAAGATTCACATGTATGAATGGTTGATCCTGGTTGACCCAATCATCATTGATATGGTTGATTTTAGTGTTCAAAAGTGTGAATCGTTTTTTCAATTTTCCATGTGCCCGCTGTTTACCGTTGATCATGCCCGATTGATAGCCGCTGTCTGGGAAGCCAACTCTTCCGGCGTGCTACACCTCAAAGAATCTCAACGATGAGCGCGTCAATATCCCAGGTTGATCGATGTATATACACTAGGTCAATCTTTGATGGGCAGTAACTTTTCTTTTAGTCTTTTGGTATCAACTGGGATTATCTACGTTCACCAACTAAGAATTTATGTGTTTGCAAGGTATCTAAGATTGGCCATGTATACAGGAGTCCTTGCTTGCAGTGAACCCTAGATGTATCACGGACCCAAACTTAGGATGGAAACGGATTTGCCAAAACCTTGGACTTGCCTCCTGGCTGCAGACATTCGGGGGGTGCCATGAACTTTGACATTAAACATCATTAAACTATCGGTTGGTTATATTGAATATTGAATATATGGGTTTGGGGTTTAGATGGGTAAATCCCAATTTTGTTCGTGTTCATTTTAATTGGTGAACTACTTACACCTGACACCTAGTTTTGTTTTTACACACTTGTTTAAACACGAGAATTGTGAGTCATGGTTCAAGTTCCATTTTAAATATTTTAAATGGTGAAAAAATCTAATTTGGCACTGTCTCAGACAGCTCCAAACAACTCGCCACGGCAGTGACTCATTGGATGATGGCTCGATGGCTCGAGGTTACAAAGGCATCGGCAGTATCGTGTGTTACTTGCGAGCCGACACCGGGCAGGCGAGCCACAGGGCTGGTGATGGCTGGCCATGGGGAACTGCTGAGTTTGTTTTTTTCTCTGAGAAATCTGAGACCACAAAACTGAAAATACATGAAATAAGAACAACAATGAAATAACATGAAATAACATATATTGATATATATTTGCATATATTTATATAATAACATCATATCTTGAGATTTTGAAGGTTGGATAACCTTGATAAGCCCCATGAAATCCTTCAAGATCTGGGCTTCTGAACAAGGCATCAAGGTTTGGCCGGACTTGCGGCAGAATCTGTGTCGGAGCGGTAAATTCTTCAAATTCCTGGATTCCAATGTGAAACGTTGGCGACATTTGATTACGGAGATTCCAACCTGAAACTATATCTTTATACATATATAATATATATATATAATTATTATTATCATTATTATTATAGTATATATATAAACCATCTCAGTATGAACAATTTGAAGTTTTGTCAGCCAAAAGACGTTTCTCAAACTCAGTTTTGAGAAAATCGTAATCCATGTTTGGGACATTTACATATAATATAGGGACAAGGGACAACAAAGACAAAACAACTCATTATGGTTGCCCTCATCCCCATTCCCCCATTCCCCTCGGGGAAAGGTGACCTGGAAACATCCCTTCTACGACTACTTTCGGCAGCTTCGTGTCTTTTGCAAACAAGCTTCGAAAGACGAGGTGCCACGGGTGCCGGCCGGGAGGAAGCGCCTGGCAGGGTGAGATCATGACTTTTTCAGAGTTCAACATGCAGATTTGGGGGGTTCAAAGCAGTTAAGTTCAGAACATTGGTGGAGTCTCCTCCCTGTAGCTGATGTTTGTTCAACAATGTTGGTGAGGTTGAGCATGAAGACATGAAGATTTGTGATGCTAGGAGGAGATTCTGGCAAAACACATGGAAACCATATATATATATATATTCCTTGTGATTCCATATTATTCTATCAGTTCCATTGGTTAATATTGACTTTGCTGGCTTGGTCATATCCATTGGTCCGCGTGTAGGTTTTCTTTTGACTACTAGCATAGAGTACCATTGGTTTGTCTCAATATTGCTACTGCAAATATGTTCCCGTTATCTATCCCCCCTATTGTTCACTACACTATTGTTCACTGAGTATATCGCAGCTCTAAAGATACACTCAAATATCATGCATGCGTTTATTTGCCCATTTGATGCCACAATGTGTCAGTCTATGTAGAGGGTTACGGAAAAATGGCATACACAAAACGATGCATTTATGCCATCCAAGAGGCGTTCATTCCCTCAATGTGTCCTGTTGCTTGTGATGGCATTCTAGGAAGCCCTTCCCCATTTCTGTGTGGCATCATAGTGAGTAAAGACACCAAAACCATCCAAAATAAGTGCCGCTATCCCCCGCATTTGTTGAAAGTGGGGTGTGCTTGGTGTGACCCCCATATGCAAGAAGTATGCACCAGTCTTGTATTGGAAGCTCCATGTGTGTTTTGACCTGCACTTTTGGCTTGTGCTGCTCCATTTTCCATGTTTTTTCTTGGGTCCTCCAGTGTGTTTTCTACAATTTTGCATGGTCCTGCCTTGATTTTTGCATAGTCTTCCCCGACTGATTGGTCTTGAGAGCAGGGTGTGCCATCTTAGTGAGGCACACCTCATATGCAAGAAGTATGCACCAGTCTTGTATTGGAAAGTTCCATGGTGTTCCATGTATGTTTTGACCTGCACTTTTGGCTTGTGTTGCTCCATTTTCCACGGTTTTTTCTTGGGTCCTCTAGTTTTTTTCTACAATTGTTCATGGTCCTGCCTTCATCCCCGATTGAATAGTCTTAAACGCGGGGTGTGCCATCTTAGTGTGACACCCCCCATTTGCAATAAGTATGCACCCGTCTTGTATTGGAAAGGGAAAGGAAAAGGACAGGAAAAGGAAAAGGAAAGTTTGAACAGTACCTCATATATAAACGTATATCGTATATACATTTTTGCTTTTCTGTATTTGGTCTAATAGAGGAGTCTAGCACAACGGCCGAAATGGTTCAGTCATTGAGATGGACCCCATGAATAGCATTGTGCCATCTTTGGCCCCACGGGTGGAGCCCTGATGACTACTTTGGCCTCTGCATTTTTTTGAATCCAAAACGACCTGTGCCATCTTGGACCCACCTGGTTTGGTGTGCCATTTTACCGTAACCCCGTGTACATTTTTTAAAAATATACTTTTTGATTTCATCTCTTGTTAAACCCTTGCGCGTGTTGCTCATACATACACTAGTTTTGACACTAAGTTCCTTTTGTGCTACAACCAGTCAAAAGCTCCATTTTTTCACCGGTTTCATATGTTCACATTCCAGTATGCTCACGTATACTTTTCGCATGTCATCTTCAATTCGCCATAGTTTTCACATGGTTTCACTATCTTCCACCTTTTTTTGGGGATGTCAGACTTGCACTCCAACGGGCCAGGTCATGCAGGTGCGCTGCAACCGGCTCCTGTGGAGCCGCTTGGCGGCGCGTCCTTTTCGTGGTGAACCGTATCGTTGAAGAATAAGGATTCAACGAATTATAGTTATCTTGGAAAAAGGACGAATATGGATATTACTGAAATTTATCACTAAAATGTGAATTCCTTGTTGGATCTACTTCAGGCTGATTGTAAAACGCAATTTTGAAACTTTAATTTTGAGATATGTTTGATTTGTTGGTTAGTCTCCATAAACATGGACACATGGATTTGTCAGAAAATGTGATAACTCATACAACCCCAAATCCAGTGTTTGAAAAAGTAATTCTCGCACTTCAACGACCATTCGGGGGGATATATATCATGATTTTTCCATTTTCAGATACCCAAAGTATACATACTGCTGCTTATATATCCCATTGAATCCATGTATCCATCCCCACTGTATCCCCATATCATCGTTGTTGCTGCTTGTATCCCCGCTGTCGAGGTTATGAGGCTACGCGCGTGGAAGCCGAACATGACCAGGACAGCAAAAAAAATGTTGCGAGTGTTTGGTTACCCTCTGGTAATTTAACAGTTTGCTTAAGAAAATCACAAATTTTAATAGGTAAACCATTGAACTAAATGGGCCATGGTTTCCATAGCTATGTTAGTTTACCAGAGGGTATACACGGTGATAGTGACAAACATGATTTACACAGCATTAACAACGCATGATGATATTTCGGTGTGTTTGGAAATTGCATAATTAATCATAATAATAGTAGATCTATAACCCGAACTTGGAAAGTCAATAGGGAAAATGAAGATAAACCAGTGAAATTAGGGAGAGTCAAATCCAGATGGGGAATTCACCAACCAAAAGGTGGATTTGGGGCCAAGTCATTAGGTATCTACGAAAACCTCACGGAAAAATGGGAGACACCGTTTCGAAAACCCATGAATTCAGCCTGGTTTTGCTGGTGGCAATTGAGCATGGAGCCGGAGTTTGAGCAGCACCCAACCAACAGGACTAACAATCTCCAAGGATACCCACACAATGTGGGACCTCCTCTGTCGAACAACTTGATTTTTGAGAACATTGTTCGCCACTAAGTCACTAGTCAGACAATTTTTTGTACTAAAGCTGCCCCTCCAACTGCCAGGAGCCATTGATTTCTCCCATGTACGTGGCGCGCATGGGGGAGATCTTCGGTTTCGATGTCAAGACTCAAGGCGGAACTCGCTGGGGTCACCGCAAGTTTTTGGCAGCTGATGTTGTCTCGATAAAATGGTGACGTATGGTCATTTGGTGACTTTACCAAGAAATATGGTGGTATAGATTGGCATAGTAGATATAGTAGCGATATGTAGGGATACTATGAGGATGTATGATGCTTAATGGATAGTTTAATCCTTTACTGTAGTCTTTTGGTATCAATGGGATTATCTACGTTCGCCAGCTAAGATGTTTTTGTTTTGCAGGGTATCTAAGATTGGCCATGATCATCCGGATGAATTATGGTGTATCGCCACCGGGTGACTACCCCAAAATGGCCAACTTTGTCGGAAGCTTTTCCCATTTGAACATCACCATTTGGGAGATCATGTCTACTATTGCCCTGCGTTTCAAGCAACAAAACGTGTAGATATCTGACAATACATCACCTCAAGATCCCCCTAGAAATTTCCTCTATAGAATAGGGTAACACGTGTAGCGTTATAACCCTCCATTTTATACCTCTATAAAATGTGTTTTTTTCTCCTGGGACTTGCAAAGCACTTCTTTGGTGTTTTGGGCATGCTTCGCCATTTTATAGAGGGTATTTTGGGTTCTTTTTTGGGGACCCTATTCTACCCTGGTCTCCATTTTATAGAGGCCACAGCTTGGGTTGTTTCAACATGAACAACTCACTGTCCAAGCTGCACCATATGGCTCAACAAAATGTCAAACACATTCAAGATATTTCAAGATCATTCAAGTAAAACGGCGTTTTTTTTTTTGTGTGTGTTGTGTTTTCTGTTTGGATATATTTGGAATCCAAAACCAAAGTTTTGGCAACAGGACTACTAACATAGCATTTGCGCAGGGTTCCCAAACCTCCAATAGTACATCACAATCATCATGGCAGCAAGTAGCCAGATTGGCAACATCGACCAGGAGTTTTTTCCTTATTAAATCGATTATATAAAATTGTTGATTTTGAAGCTTTTATGGGTCCAGTAAGGGTGAGCCCCGGGAAGACATCCAAAAACAGTTGTGCCAGTCATGATTTTCAATCCAAAACCAAGGTTTTGGCAACAGGACTGCTAACATAGCATTTGCATCCCCCTTGGAGTTCAGTGTGTAACCTGGGTACCACCATTTTATAGTGATAAAATGTTCTTTTTGGGGGGGCTGGCCCTTTATAAAATGGGGGTGCCCAGGTAATTAGGGGGGTCTGCGCTGTCTATAAAATGGGGTACCCAGGTTACTCACTTAACTGTCTGATGCGGCTGCCTGGGTCCATTTTGACCTTCTATAAAATGAGGATCAGGGTCCCAGGTGTGAAGTGCTGGGGCCAAACTCCGGTCACAAAAGAGAGTTGTTGATTTGGAATTTCTATTTTATAGAGGTGATCAAAGGTGAGAAATCACCAAGTCCCGGGTGAAACCGAGCAACGCAATCCAACGCATTGATTATTTTGAAGATTGTTTGTATATATTGTTTTTAAAAAATAAAAAAACCTCTGATAACCTTTCTATAAAATGGGGAACAGAACGGTTTTGCAAGGGCTTGCCTCTATAAAATAGAAACGCATGGGCACCTGTGATTGGAAAGCTAGGAAGCCCTTCTAAAAAATGGGGAGCAGAACGGTTTTGCAAGGGCTTGCCTCTATAAAATGGAAAAATATGGGAAAACACATTGGCACCTGGGAGATCCTGGGATGGGAAAGCTAGAAAGCTGGAAGTTAGGGAAGGCGCTTCACCACACAACCCAAGATATCCATAGAATTCCATAGATATTCTAAGAATTCCTAAGATTCCCCAAACATCCCTAAGCCATCCCAGACCCAAAAGCCCCCTCAAAAAAAAGATCAAACATCATCAAAAATCTCCAAAGCCTCAACACTTTCCCAGATTCTGGGAAGCCCTCCTCTATTAAATGGGGAGCCAGCTCGTATTTTACCACAAAGCACCCATTTTATAGAGGCTCTTGGTGGTAGAGGCCCAAATACCCATTTTATAGAGATAGTATAATATAAAGTTGTAACATCATGTAACATATTGTAACATCAATGTTCGTGCTTGTATGTGCTTGTAGTACTTGTAGTATCTTGTATGTTCTTGTATGTTCTTGTATTATCTATTATTGTCTTGTAGATTCTTGCAGTATCTTAATGATTCTTGATTCTGCATGTCCCCCTTATACATTCATTCCATGCCATTCCCATACTATCGTTCTTGAAAATTCCGGCTTAAAGAAAGGCCTTACTTATCCTTATTTGATGTATTTGATTAGTTTCGATTGTACTCAATTGGTTTCTCTTTTTACTTGCCAAATCTTGCCAACATGTTTGATCTTTTTGAACATTTTGGAGCCATGTGGTGCTGCCGGTCTAGCGAGTTGTTCATGTTGACACAATCCAAGCATTAGTCTCTATAAAATGGGGACCAGGGTTAAAAAGAGCTCCAAAAGTTACCCCAAAAAGTCCCTCTATAAAATGGGGACCTGGGTTGACCTTGCAACATGCCAAAAACACCAAAAAGTGCTTCGTATTTCCCAACATTTTAAAAAAAACATTTTATAGAGGGATAAAATAATGGGTTATAAGGGTACCCGGGTACCTCTATTTGCCAGGGGGATTATTTGGATATCATACTTTATTTATTTTTTATCATTGAACGGGAACATTCCGATCTTGCCGGGATAGACCGGGATTATCCGGGATTTGTGACTCCAGACAGATGTGCATTGCTCATATGACATGGCCCGGTTGTGTGCCCATTGCTGTTCTTTGGGTATCTTAATGGCTACACATGTGGCGCCAGAGTATGCTCATGTGTGCTCAGTGCACTTAATCCCTAGACTTTTGGCATCTTATGGCATCTTGCGAGCAGACCGAGGGGAAAAACAAAGCAGTTTTCACGCGCTCCAGGCTTTGTGATTTCTCACCGCATCTTACCTCTATAAAATGGAATTTTCATATTCAAAATCTCCCTTTTGTGACCTATTTTTTTCCAGCACATCCACCACATGAACCTGGGTCCCCATTTTACAGATGGTCAAAAATGGACCTACATAGCCAGATGAGACCGTTAAGTGAGATACTAGGGGGGGGCGCCATTTTATAGACATTGTGCACCCCCTGTTTTGCTGGGTTGTTTATTTTATAAAGGGTGTAGCCCCCCCCAAAATCATTTTAACACTAGAAAATGGGGCCCCACGTGTTGCACACTGAATTCACAGGGGGATACCTCAAGTGAGCAAATCCGCAAAGCAAGGACATATGGGTTTGTCATGGTTTGTCACCAAATGGGTTTCATCAAAATCGTCCACTGCAATATATATATATATATTCCCCATTGCAAATTGCAATAACCTCAACTTGAGTCGAACCAACTCCAACATTAAGCGTGTGTTTAGCGATGATACCCCATGACATTCAGAAATTAATAAGACTATTGTTTCTGAACATATACGAAAAGCAGATGTATACATCATGATAAATCCTAAGCCAGTGCGCTCCTTTACTCTCGCACCTTCAGGCTGTGTCGTGAGGAATTGCAAAGCTCAGCTCAAGGCTTTTGCCAAACACTACCGCCGGACACAGGTGTACCCGGGGATGTTGACCTGGATGTTGAGCCGTTGTTGATCGTTTTTGGGGATAGGTCATAGGTTGGGTTACCACATTAGAATCTCAAGATACATGTTGCATTGTTGCATTGTTTCTCGTTATTCACTAGTACTGACCAGTTAGCCATTAATGGTGGCTAGCCTCGATGCCGATGGTCAACTGGTCAATGAATCTATATACATCATGGAGCCATCTAGCTTCGCAAGTTGTTTATCCACGGACAATCACGGACAAACATCTCGGCCTGATAAAAGCAGATGTAGGATATTTAGTTTAGCCATTTACGGTGGAGGTGATGGGGGTAGTCCCCCGAAACACATCGGGGCGGTGAAGAGAGTTTAGACGATTTGAAGGACTGTTTCATTGACCCAAAACAAAACATCAATAACACAATTTGCAAGAAAGGTTCCGCTCAAAAGTCTTCTTCGGTAGGTTACGTTCCTGGGGCACAAATGGAGGAATGTATATGTATATATATATATATATATATATTATATATTATATATATATATATATTATATATATATATATACATATATACATATATTTATATATAATGTTACTATGCTGTCCAAACTACATGACTTTTTGAAGTGTTCCCCCAAGTTAAACCTCCACTCCTCGCTGGTAAACCTGCCATTTTGGCTGGTTAAACCCTCCTTCTAGGCGCAGATAGTGATAGGAAATTTGCTGTGCTTAAGAACTAAACATACCATACATGGAAATCGTTTTTTTTACCGATGAATGCATGATTTTCCATACCCATGTCAATTTCTTGTGTGGTATTTGAACTAGCCGTTTGCCATTTAACTGCTGTGTTCATTTCATCTTTATTTTTCGTCCAACAAATTCACTCATCATTGAGCAGTGAACAAAGCCATGGTCTACTGATTGCTGCAGGGAGTTGATACTACCTGGGTTATTGAAGGGATTATGGTCCATGGTTGGGTTTCCCCTTTAACAAACCAGTTTTTTGAGATGCCATCGCTCGCATCCCATCGCTGCAGGATGTTGACATCAACTTGATCCGCGACTGTAATGAGATGCTCCAAAGAGACCTGGAAAAGTATGAGGAGATGGTTTCCCATTGGTCAGGCGCGTCTGACCAGACGTGCCCAGCCTGGGGAATGGGATAATTCTGGCATGAAGCTTGATGGAATCGATGTCAGTTGACCCAGAAAGTTGATCGAAGTATCTGATTTTAGTATTGAACCACCAATTTTGATCCATTTTGGCGGTCAATCTTGTTGAATTATGCTGCGGGCCAGGTTTGGATTTTATTTTGATATTTTCTGAGTTCACATTGGTCGGGCGTTGTTGATGTTGAATTCTTATGGGGATTTTTGGGGGTGTGTACCCCAAAATTAAGCTCAAAGGTGATGATGCTGGTCTTAAATCAGGACTCTGAAGAATTTTGAGGTCTTTGAGTATTGAGACATCAACAGCAATGAATTGGGGGGTCATCAGCACCAATTAGTCATTGGGTGAGCCGCACCAACAAAATTACGCCCCCCCATGCCATCCCGTGCCGCAGGTGCCGTGAAGGACGATGTGAAGTTCGATCTCAACAAGTTGTCAAAAGGCCCCCCAGATCAGCCGGGCATGGCATGGGAAACCAAAGAAGGTGAAGTGTCAATAGTTTATTCATGTTTGGTACACCGTAGTTTTTTGCCATTTTGATGGTACACAGTATATTATAATATATTATATATACTGTATACTGTATATACACACATACACTATATAGCCAGCAAAGCAGTTTTTCTGTTTTCCCAGCCCATGTGTTTTACCGTTCACCCCCAGTTACTTAAGATAAGATGAGACAAGTAGTTGATGTTTAAGCAAACATCCAGTGGGAAGGGGTTACAGCATATATATATATATATAGGGTGGTCCACAAATATAGGGGATGTCCCGCAATTCATGGCCATTCAGTCATCATGAAAAGTGCTACACTGGCTTTAGACATTTTGCTGGGTCAGTGTGTCTTGCACACTTCAGTGGATCATCGTCACTTTGGTATGACCGCTGTGGTCAGTGATCACCTGGTGAATGGTCGAACTGCACTGTAATTACTGTGGGTGGCTCAACCACCAAGATTGCATGCTGTAGATTTATATGATATATGATATATGATATATGTATATGTATATGTGTATATGTGTATGTGTATATGTATATATGTATATATGTATATGTATATGTATATGTATATGTATATGTATATGTATATGTATATGTATATGTATATGTATGTCCTTTCACTATACGGGGACATACATGAGGTCAGTCGAACCAAGAGACAGGGGTCAAAAATTCGCAGGGGAGAGGGAAGTTTTTAACTTTTTGTTCCCAATTTCGCTATGTCAGAGTTTGTGTGTCTAGGGCCTGGTGGACCTTCGGAGTGGTGAAGGGTGTCCAGGGGACACGGGCAGGTTCAACATTATCCTGGTCTGGCGGGATGTGTTGAAACTGGACCCTGAAGAAGATTGAGGAATATCTTCTAACAACTCTTACATAGCCATTCGCCAAATTTCCATCTTTTAATTGAAACAAGTGGTCTGCAAAGGTAAGTGAAAAAAGACTGAGGCGAGTGTTTATATAAGTATAGTCGTTTATTGCTGGGTGGTATTCATACTAATCACGCCGTAGCCTCATTGATTGTTGTTATATCCGTTTTGCTTGGTGGATCTCCGCTGAACTTGCTGAGCGATTGATCTCCCCCGAGAATGATTCCCCGTTTTGGAGACCCCAAATGAACAGATCCAATATATCTGGTTAATAATGGTTACTACGGGGAATCATCCCAAAATGGCCCAAGTTTTCAGGTTAGTGAATGATGATAATTTGCCCAGATATGCCACCACGGTTTCTTAGGGTTGTTTATCATTTGAGCGAAAGGATTACTAATTGGTCATATAATTTGCATGACTCTGGAATAAGATCACCAGAAAGTGGATGAATTCCCCATGTTGCATTTTGGTCGGTTAAATAATGTTTTTAATATATATATATATATATATATATTATATATAAGATAAATAATTAATCACCATATTGGACGGGTTGATAAAGAGAAGGGATTCCAGCACTCCATCATCTACCACCTAGACCTTTTTTCTCAACGCTGGCAGGAGAGCTTCAGTGTGTGAACTGCGAAACCACAGCGCTTAGTTTTTGCTTGGAATGCAAGGACGGATGGGCGGACAGTGCGCCTTATGGTGGTCCAACATTGGCACCTGTAACAAATTGGTGGTCTGAAATGGTGGTCGTTGTTCTGTTCTAACGCTCTTGTGATGAGCCATAGCATATAGCCATGTGAGCGGGAAATAGGGAAGGTATGCAGGTTCTTTTCCATACCTCCCTGAGATAAAGCGTGTTAACTGATTGTTCGTGTTCTGGACAATGGATGGCTGGAATCAGCAATTGTACTGTTGGCTAGACGGAAGCTTATTAGCTGCAATATCAGAATATGGGAATGTACGGCATGGGATATCACGATCAAACATTTGGACACTAATCTACAGTAATGGGTCCCCACCAGTTGAAATGGGTGATGACTACCCTGAACTCGGGTTATTTGTCAGTTAAACGGCGTTGTCAACTGTCAACTCAGTCGCAGCTGGTATGGCCTATCACAATATGTTTTTTTTGGACACATGTTTTTCAAGTTGCCTATTTCGATGTGAACCCAGCCAGGTTTCGTGACAAGTGGTTCATGACTCTTTATGACCATGGTTGCAACATCTCAAAACCATTCAAAACCCAGTTCCAAAGCGAACATTCAGAGTTACTTGCATGTGTAGATCATAATCAAGATTCATCAATACTCTGATTCGTTGCATCCTCATCCCCACATTTGCTGTTGCTTGTGTCCATGGGGTTCAACCCCTTTATTCGGGGGGCCATTGGCTGCACATCTCCTGGGGAGGTGTTTTTCAAAGCCATGCTGGAAGGTGGAAACAATAATAAACCACCCATTTGGGAATTGTTTTATACCACCTATAAAAATTGTGTGATTTGGAGGATGAATTATTATTATTATATATATATATTGTTTTACCCACATGTTCTCAATCCATTTCTATGGGTCAACCGAAAGTCAAACTCAAACTGTTCCTCTTGTTCCGATACAAACAACAATTTCAATGTCATTTTGATTTATTTCGTGAGTCGCACAGCAAGAAGAAAACGCGGTCCGTCCGTGTGGAGTTCCCATGGCAGGACTACCTGTGCCTGAAGTGCTATGGTGATTTGCACAGCAAGGGTTTCCGCAAGTCCCATGCGCCTTTTTGCCTGGTTCCTTGCGCGCTGTGTGTGGTGCTACCAGTCCCTAGGACCTGAAGGAACTCGGGCCACTCGGGCAAGGGGCAGGGGAGGGAAATTGACATATGGTATGGACCATGAGGATGGGTCAAAACCTATTATTGCCATATTTGAGGTAATAAACATCCATTGACCCGTATTTTAGGGTACCTAGTTTGCCAGGGTTTTGACTTATATGGGTGAAAGTTGGGCACCACAAATAAAAATAGATGGTCCATACTGGAAGATGGTCAACGTGTGTGTCCCAGAAGTCTTCAGAGATCTCAAACTCTAAAGGAATGGTCGCCTGTGGGCTTGTCCAGACAATGAGGAACATTCCCAAATTGCAACTTTCATGAGAATTATGATGATCAACCATGCGATTTTTGGAAATCTTATTCTTTGACAAGCACATGTCTCACTTGCAAGGCACCTCGGACAAATTGGGCTTTATCAACAGTGGCGAATTGGCCTACAGTGATCGCTATCGCCATGAGTTCACAAAGTGTACTAATTTCACATACATAAACTTGGTGCCTATGCACACCTGTGCAAATCTATGTAAGGCCATATCATCCCCCCATAAAAAATCACGGTTTAGCAGGATTAATTACAATGGCCTCAATGTGACGTCACTGAATGATAGGATTTGCAAGGGGAATCATCCCCAATTGTCCGACCAATATTAGCTATTTTCAGGCTAGTGACTTGTTCTGATTCAGCCAGAACTTCTGTAAAGTCAATGATATATCTGTATTAGTTACATCATAGCTGTATAGATTATATAGCCTATAGTCTATAGTGTTTATACATATATATATGTATATATATATGGGGGTTTCCATAAATAGGGGTATCCCAAAATAGATGGAAAACATGGAAAATCCGAAAAAACATAGATGATTTGGGGGTACCCCTATTTTAGGAAAACCTCCATATATATATATTATATTATATATATATTATATATATATTATATATATATAGTAAATGGACATTGACAGGCAGCTTCCTTTCATCCAGCTCATCCCTGCCTGCGGCGGGGTGATCTGGAAACAAATCGCCTGCCGTCACATGCTCCATGTATGATTTGCCTACAGAACTGGGTATTTTTTGGGGTAAATCAATGGCAAATATTCAACAATTGTAAATAATTAGATTAAATAGTTGATAGTGATTTGGGTAAATCACAATCTTTAATAGGTAAATCAACTATTTCTATGGGCCATGTTCAATAGCTATGTAACCAATTTCCAGAGGGTAAATTTGAGTAAATGATTCCAGCACCGAGCATTTTGGTTGGTCAAGTATGGTCAAGTCTCCTTGCAGACCAAGGCAAAAATTCATTGCACCTTCACCGACAAATCGCTATGTCATGGGTCCCTTGGGACACTGCATGGTGCTGGGTGGTGCTGGAAACAGGAATACCAAAAAAAAATGTCAGGAAAAAGTCAGCACAGCCTCTCTTGATTTTACATTCTAATTCTATAAAAAAAAATTTCCTGAGAACTGGATGACTTTCCCTTGGACCCATACTTTCTGAGAAGGTACGGCTGAATCTGCGGCATAGATGTCCATTTTTCCTGCTGGTTGGTGGCAAAAAGAGTAAACACGGGTAAACGGTAAACTTCCCTTTACCCACCTACTTTTGAAACAATACTTGTATGGTGCCTGTGAAAATCATGTTTTTGCTGATTGAAGACAAAGTCTGGTTCTGTTCGGAAATGAATGGAAATGATATTTCCGAGATGCTAGGAAAATGACGGTAATCTACCATGACAACTAAAAAACAGCTCCAATATGATTATACAACAGTTTACACATCTTCAAATCATTTAAATTCAACATGAAAACCCGACTAAGAACCACCCACAAGTCATGGCAGCCACCCAAACTGGCGCTTTTGGCAGCCAGGTGCTATGCCATGAAGCACATCAAGATGCTCCCCAAGGATGGCAAGGAGAACGCGCCAAGGAGGATCAACTACGTTGAGCAATACAACCGAGCCTGGGACAGCCATGGCCATGGATCACATATTATCCCGGCAAGAGACCCCAAACAGTGTGGGGGGCAGGAATCCAATGAGGTACAAGCAACAATAGCTACGGAACAAAAACAGATCAGGTTATAGGCTCTTTCGTAACTGCAGCAGCAGGAACTTGTTTGTGCACAAGAAGCAACTCTATGTGTAGGACCGTATACTCGAACCTTATACCAAGACATGGAAGAGACGGTCACAAGATGGTCAAAGAATGACCCTCTATATACTCTAGATGATTTTACAAGACCTTCAGACAAGAACTTCCATGAACATCCCAGAAGAACTTACATACAAGCACCTCAATTCCAGAGCATTTTCAGGATCTTAATGCAAGGACCTCTTAGGGAGGATTTGAACAGGATCTCCGCAAGATCTTCTCACAAGAACCTGTACAAGATCATGCACGGACACATATGGGCCTGTACAAGATCATGGAAGTAACTCTTAGAGAGGACTTCACCAGGATGTCCAGTCCATCTTCTCATAAGGACCTGTGCAACATCACTCAAGGACCTCTTAGAAGATTTCAGCAGGGTCTTCACAAGATCTTTTTTTTGGTACAAGAGAGGGCTTCACCAGAATCTCCACAAGACCTCAGCAAAAATGCCGCCGCCCAAGACCATGACCGAGACTCCCGCTTTCTGCGCGCCTGTGCAGTCGAAATGGACATAGGACATCTCACAAGAGCCATTTTGCGCGAGAATTCTCAGCAAACATGCCGCCGCTCAAGACCATGACCAGACCGGGACCACACTTCGTGCGAGCCTGCGCAATCAAAATGGACATGGGCATTTATGCGAGACCCCGGAAGTTAGCCGCACGTTTTGCGTGAGCCTGCGCAGTCGAAATGCACTTGGACGTGTCAGACGAGCCAGTATGCGAGACCCCAGAAGTTAGCCGCACGTTTTGTGGGAGCTTGCGCAATCGAAATAGCTATTTTATTCGAGAATTTGCAGCAAAAATGCCGCGCCCCAGAAGTTAGCCCCAGAAGTTAGCCGCACGTTTTGTGCCAGCCTGCGCAGTCGAAATGCACTTGGACGTCTCAGACGAGCCATTAGACCCCAGAAGTTAGCCGCACATTTTGTGGGAGCCTGCGCAATCGAAATATTATTCGAGAATTTTCACCAAAAATGCCGCGCCCCTATAGCCCCAGAAGTTAGCCGCACGTTTTGCGCGAGCTTGCGCAGTTGAAAGGCACTTGCACATCTCAGAAGAGCCATGTCATGGGAGAATTCTCAAGAGAAACACCGCCAGCCAGATAGAGCACCCTGATCTAACCCCCGGCTTTACACTTACCGTAAGAACCCCTCAGTGTGGACACAGTTTTTGGGGAATGGTGACTGTGTATGTTACTTGAAAACATATGTGAGAATGAATGGATTAAGATTATTTTTTCACAGACTTGACACAATGAATATGTCAGTAGCAAATGTCTTTCGAATATATATATATAGAGATATTTATATTATATACATATATTTATATTTATATATGTGTGTATGTATATTCACAATGCATTAATATATATATATATATATATATACATGTAAATCATTTACGGATGTACGAATTTGCATGTCCTGTCACATGTGCTCACCAATCTCAGCCACCCTTCTCACTGGGGTGATGATAACCACCTGGCTGCTCAGGCCGAAGGTTCAACCAACACAACATGGGCATACCATCCGAAAAAAATAATTGATCATCCCCATTAATTCGATAGAGCCCACAGAAACCCAACACTTTGTCAAATTATGTTCACCACTTTGATATAACATATATATATATATACACATATTTTTTGTTTAACCCAAAAACCGAACAGTTAATGAAATGATAAACCGACTTCCCCAACGATTTGGGGCGCCTTGGAATCTGGGCCGCCCTGGATGCCCTGTTTGCTCGAGGATACGCAGCGATGGCGAAGAAGAGAGCCGAGACGAAGGCAAGTCCATCAGACACTCGGTGCATCCGCTTGGGATTTGTTGATGGTGGTGTCACCCACTTTTGCTGGTGATTCTTTGCTGGTTTAATCTGGTTTATTAGTTTGTGTATGTTTGTGTTACCTCATTTAACAGTTTGTGTATGTTTGTGTTACCTCATTTAATCAGTGAACTATATGTATATCATATATCGTGTATCATATATAATATATCATATATCCATTTTTCCAAGATAGATTTGATTTTCAAAACCAATTGGATGCCAACTCAATAACTCAGCTATAAGTACGGGGTTTCACTTGACAGTTGGTGAATGTCTGATACTGCTGGGGGTCCAGTTGGGGTGAACAATGGGTATAACCATGGAAACAACCCCGATAACTATGGCTATACCACATATAACCACTAAAAACTGGAAATGCACGCCAAATACAGGCGACTTTGATATATTTATTCAATGAGATCATCCCATATATAAATATAAGAGGTTGAACACAGATGAAAGCATACAGGCATCATTTGCGTTGGGTTTTTTCCTTGCAGACTTGGAGATCATGGTGCGTTGTTGGGGGGACACTTGTCCAAGCCAACCGATCCCCCGATCCCATCTTGTGAAATCCAGGTTTTACATCGCAGTTTTGACATGGATATTGGATGATATTGGTCCAACCATTGGGTACATAGTGTAACTATACGTTTAACTCATAGTTTCCTAAGAGAAGAGGATTGACAATTTCTGGGGCGGACTTTGAATTCTGAAAAAAACATCCAATATCAGAGCAAACACGGACAGTGATTGATACATGTTTTCCTTCGATGATCTCAATTGTGCATTTGCATGTTATCATGTTTTATCCGTTTTTCACTAGTATAAAGTGATTGCATCACGGTCATTCGTTGAAACTTACCCCTTTGCTTGTTGCTCACGCCCTCATGGCTTGCCAGATGTCTGATCTTGGTGTGCGATCAAAACCAGGGCCCTGATGCTCCAGGATTTCTAAATATATTCCATAGTGCCATAGTGAAAAACCATGGAAAAGTTACACAATCCAAAAACAATGGGAACAAAAAATTACATAACCCAATTCATCTTGATATCCTGAGAAATTCAAAACCAGCCCTTGGGGAATGTTCGGCCGAAGATGGATCGATCCAGGAAGAGATTCCGAACTTGGAGGATGCCGCTTACGAGTCGGTCTTAAGCACCGATTGGCATCCCTTCTACGATGCACGCGGGGTGACACTGGGCGGCAGGACGGGAGGTTCTCATGGCTCTGCAGGTTTCAAACGATTCAAGGCCCACACATTTCTGATAGATGTAGGTTGATGATATTTTAGGGTGATTTTGTAACTGCATGGTTTGATGGATTTATCACGAGTTCAACACGGGAAAGGAATCCCAATGAGAAGATCATCCCATGTCAATGGTTTCTATCATAATCTATCATATATTATCATATATTATCCATATTTTTGTCTAAATAATGGTTATCATATGTTATTATCATATTATCATATTATCATATTATCATATTATCCATAAATCATCTATTATCATATATTATCATATATTATCACATATATATATATATTATCATATATTATCCATATTTTTTGTTTAAATAATGGTTGTTATCATATTATCATATTATCCATAGTTTTGTCTAAATAATGGTTATGACCATATTATCATATTATCCATAAATCATATATTATCATATATTATCATATACTATCCATATTTTGTCTAAATCATGGTTATTATCATATTATCATATTTTCATATTATCCATAAATCATCTATTATCATATATTATCACATGTTATCCATATTTTTGTCTAAATAATGGTTATTATCATATTTTCATATTATCCATAAATCATCTATTATCATATATTATCACATGTTATCCATATTTTTGTCTAAAACATGGTTTTTATCATATTATCATATTATCCATAAATCATACATTATCATATATTATCACATATTATCCATATTTAGGAAAATGATCCCATCCACAATGACTCCGAGACTCACAAGCTGGAGTTTTGAAGAGTCTTTGCAGTACCAATGGTCCAATGGTGATATTTCCCGTGTCAACAGCAAATTTTTGGGTCGGGGGTCAACCACTACTTGGCCAAACTTGGCCACCATTGGAACTCCAGAATATCGGGGATGGCCACCCTCATCTTCAGATGGAATAATCACAATTTGGAGCTGGCTATATTCAACTATAATATATCTCAGTGTGAATCAATCAAAAGGGTTGAAATCACCGATTTCCAAATCCTCCTAACCCTCAATCCCAACATCCGGGGTTCATCCAAACATTTCTTGTTTACATCCCCATGCATCAAACATGTTTTCTGGGTGAAGAGCCCCTTCTTTGCATCAAACCTGACAAGGCCTTCGTGTTTTTTTGTACCAGTTTACCAACACTATGAAAAAAGATTTCCTGCAAATGTCCTCTTCAACCAATTTAGGAATCTTCAGGTCACAATTTCCAAAAAAAAACATGATTATGAGCATCACCATCCTCCTCAATCTTGCGAAGCTACTCAGTTCCTCCGTGTCCAAATCTCCAAGTACACTTTGATCTTGATATAATTTCATTAATCATTTTTGATTACATTAGGCTAAAGCTACAGCACAACCACTGATTAAACTTCGTCATTTCAAGTTGTGTTGTCTCCCACAGATCAGATTCTCATGAAAGCCGTCGGCATGATAGTGATATCTAGTCACCAGATGTCACCATAAGAGTATGTAACTGGTTGGTGGTTTGGAACATGTTTTATGACTTTCCATATATTGGGAATAGTAACCCCAACTGACTCATATTTTTCAAGATGGTTAAAACCACCAACCAGTAAAAGTATGTAATCATGGTCATCTTAGCAAAGATTTCTCGGATCTCAGGAAGTACTACCACAACTTTGCCACGGGTGAGCGCATGCGCCAGAGCCCCACCGCGGTGCCCAACACCGACGAGCCGGGTGTCGAAGGCAACAATGGACTGAAGGAAGCGAAGGTGCCGAGCTGTTGTGGGTTTCACCCTGGGGAAGGTGCTGGCCCGGTTGAACTCATCTGCTTGGTGCTGACTGGAACATGACTGGATGATTTTTCCCATCATATTGGGAATGTCATAATCCCAACTGACTTTCACTCCATCATTTTTCAGAGGGGTAGGTCAACTACCAACCAGTAATTGGATTCACATTGATTCACCGATTCACCATCAAAACTGCCATGAAGATGTGGATGGTTGGATTTTGTCGGATCAAATTTCGGGCCTCACAGATGGTGATGAATGAATTGTGATGTTGATTTTTCATGGATGTATCATATAGGTCATAAAGACTTAACATCATGTAGCATGATTGTACAAACATGTGGATGAACCAACTAGCAAAAATGGGAACTTAACATGATTTTCACCGGCATGCATGGCTGGAAAGGTGGGTATTTGAGTGAATTTGAATTATAATCGTGTCGCTGACCGATGTCACTGGACAAATGATCCTGTACATAGAACCAACTATTATCCCAAAATCGCCTTAGCCCAGCCTTGTCTATAGAAATCTGCACAGCAACTGGGGAAGGTTTCGGAAGCAAATCAAACACTCATTGGAATGCGCCACTTGCCAAAAGAAGAAAAACACCAATAGAAATGACCAAATGATGTTGTCAACAAATGATGGGTGAATGGGGTTTTGCATCACATTATCCACTCTGAAAAGAAACACAGTTCCTATACACTTTCTCTGAGTACGTTTGTGGGTTAAGTATTTCATAAGTCCAGGGGAGCTACAGATCGACTTGTGATGTCTCCTCCAACCCTTGGGGTGTTCAATCTTGCGACTCGATGGGAAAACACCAAGAAAGAACATTTCGCCAGTGACAGTTGTGGCCCTTTACCAGTTATACACTTATAACCCCATTTATGGACTGTATAATCCCATTTATAACCAGTTTTAACCATTTATAATTGGTATTTCGGGCCTTAGCTGAACAGTAGATGAATCGCTTGTCCACCAGCTTTTTTTGTGGGGAGTTATTATTTACATCACCAAACTTAATAAGTACCCTGGATCGGAGGGGTTTAGATCGGAAACAAATCTCTAACCATCAGTAAGATGATAAACACGAACAAAACCGAAGAAAAATGATATAATATGAAAAAATCATGGAAAACATGGAAAAAGCGAAGAAAATTGTTTTTTTATCGTCTGAAACCATATGCACATGGCCATCGTCATAATCCACCAAACGTGTTATTTCTGGTGATTTTTGAGTTCATTAATCACATCTTTATACTTTTCGGTGTTGTGTGCATTGCTGGTAGGTAACCTTAATAAATAATCTAAAATGTCTCTGTTTATACTTCCATCTTTTCCACCCGTTCCTGATATATAAATAAAGCGTCTTGCCTGTCTTATATAATCCCGATGGGTTTCTGTATGCATTTGTCAATCCGTGTCTGTCTTCTGTTGCTTTTGTGTTGGCTATGTTCCTTTCTTCTTTATACAGTGTTGTATTTTGTCTGAATTGCTCATTAAGATTTCTTGCAAAGTTGTTCATCTTCTCATCTAAGTCTCTTTGTTTCTTGTCCGTGTCGTTCATCAACTCTTCTTTTCCTTGACGCATTAATTCTTCAAATGCTACTCTACCTATTCTTTTTGCGAATATATAATCTCATCTCTTCTCTTGTTAATACATGTTCTATTGCTTCACCTCCCATAATTCTCTGAACAACCTCTCTCCCAAACTGCCTTCCCACCTGTCTCAATGCATTAGTCATTGCTATTCTTCCAACTCCTGCTACAACTCCAATCATTTATTTTTATATTAATGTTTGATAAAAATCATTTCTAATAATAGATCTAATCATGAGTCATGAGTAATAGATAAACATATAAAACTATGTTTGTAGATAGTAAGTATCGCAATGCTCAATCAAAATCTTCGCCTGACTTTTCAGTGGAGTTAAACGAAAACTCAGAAACACCAGAGGAAACAAAACTCTATGTAACTGATATTTCTATTCCAGCGGTGTGGAAATCTACAGAGGTGGGTTTCTATGAATATATTTATGTTGTGGTCTTCAATGGCGATACTGTACATTAGTCAAAATATTAGGGTATATTTAGGTAATATTATGGTAAACTGTGATTAAAACATGAAACAATCACAAGAAAGAAATCAAAATGAAAATAACAAATCTCAAACAATCTCAAAAAATCTCAAAAAATCTCAAAGCAATACTTTAAAAATAGCAAAAAGGTAAATTAAAAATTAAAAATCTCAAAAAATCTCAAATCTCAAAAAATCTCAAATCAATACTTTAAAAATAGTAAAAAAATCTCAAAAACTCTCAAAAAATCTCAAAAAATCCCAAAAAATCTCAAAAAATCTCAAAAAATCTCAAAAAATCTCAAAAAAGCTCAAAAAAGCTCAAATAAGCTCAAAAAATCTCAAAAAATCTCAAAAAATCTCAAAAAATCTCAAAAAATCTCAAAAAATCTCAAAAAATCTCAAACTTGATGATAGCATGAAAAAATAAAGCTTAAAAAAACAAAAAAAAAGTTTTTTTTGTTTTTTTTTTTAATGTTTTTTTGCTTATAGATTGCATATGTTTGTTGAAGTCATTGCCGCAGTCATTTGTCTTTCAGGGTTTCGGTCTCATTTCCCCGGGTAATCGCCTTTGGCATCATTTGATTTTTTGAGACTTTTTGAGATTTTTTATTTTCATGTTGATTTCTTTCTTGTGATTGTTTCATGTTTTAATCACAGTTTACCATAATATTACCTAAATATACCCTAATATTTTGACTAATGTACAGTATCGCCATTGAAGACCACAACATAAATATATTCATAGAAACCCACCTCTGTAGATTTCCACACCGCTGGAATAGAAATATCAGTTACATAGAGTTTTGTTTCCTCTGGTGTTTCTGAGTTTTCGTTTAACTCCACTGAAAAGTCAGGCGAAGATTTTGATTGAGCATTGCGATACTTACTATCTACAAAAATAGTTTTATATGTTTATCTATTACTCATGACTCATGATTAGATCTATTATTAGAAATGATTTTTATCAAACATTAATATAAAAATAAATGATTGGAGTTGTAGCAGGAGTTGGAAGAATAGCAATGACTAATGCATTGAGACAGGTGGGAAGGCAGTTTGGGAGAGAGGTTGTTCAGAGAATTATGGGAGGTGAAGCAATAGAACATGTATTAACAAGAGAAGAGATGAGATTATATATTCGCAAAAAGAATAGGTAGAGTAGCATTTGATGAATTAATGCGTCAAGGAAGAGAAGAGTTGATGAACGACACGGACAAGAAACAAAGAGACTTAGATGAGAAGATGAACAACTTTGCAAGAAATCTTAATGAGCAATTCAGACAAAATACAACACTGTATAAAGAAGAAAGGAACATAGCCAACACAAAAGCAACAGAAGACAGACACGGATTGACAAATGCATATAGAAGCCCATCGGGATTATATAAGACAGGCAAGACGCTTTATTTATATATCAGGAACGGGTGGAAAAGATGGAAGTATAAACAGAGACATTTTAGATTATTTATTAAGGTTACCTACCAGCAATGCACACAACACCGAAAATATAAAGATGTGATTAATGAACTCAAAAAAATCACCAGAAAGAACACGTTTGGTATCACATGTCCCTCAGATAATATATAATCCACCAATTTACCTGTATCCCAACCAAATAAAAAATGATATAAAATGATATAAAAATAAAAAAATGATAAAAACATGCGTTTTAATGGGATAACATGCTTAAATATGTGAAAAAGTGCTTTTTAATGCGTTTTTAAGTTATTTTGAGTTTATTTATGCGCATGGGGGTTCACAAAGTCTTCTGATCTAAACCCAGCTGATCTAGGGTACTTATTTATTTTGGTGATTACATTTATTTACTTACTAATATCATAATGTACAGTTCGATGGCTGACAGCCTCACCTTATGGATGGTGTATTTGATCCCAGATATGACCCAAATGTAGGGATTTGCCATGCATGTAGCATGGCATATGATTGCTACAAATTATCATCATGATTACTATGACCACTTTCTATCCTAGCAATGGTTTGGGGTAATGGCACCTCAAGCAATTTGGAAGTAAAAACAATGGTGCTTCGCGTCAATTTTACCTTACGCCAATCCATCCAAGTCACAACTTTACTAGGTGAAATCGACCTTTGTTGTAGGTTGATATCCCCGACTTTGGGAAATGATCCGCCACTCGTCCTCCAATTAATTGTTCCCCCTCCAAAAAACGGGTGCCAGGCTGCTCTGGGCCAAGAAGATGAGTCTCCCAGGAAGGAGGACGCACACTTCTCACTGGATCCATGGGGAACATCATTATGGTTTTCCCTTCCCCCTATGAAACACCCCCCCAGAAACCATGGTTTAGGATGGTTTCTGGGGGATTTACACATATTTGGAACCATTATTCGTGGTTTTTTTTGTTAGGGGGATGGGATTCATCGAAGCCGCGCAGGAAAGAGCTGGCTCTGCTCCCTTGAAGGGATCAGAACCCATGCCGCTGTCTGGATTTGACTCGCCCGGGAACCCAGAGATTTCCCGGGATCCGATTGGGAAACAGAACCAACCAGGGGGTAAACTTAATAAGTGCTATGGATACAGACACGTGGAATTTGCGTTATAAGTGGTATAAACGAACTTAAGGGTGGTATACGCAGACTGTGAAGATCAGTGTCCAAAACCTTCGTTCTTTGTGGTTGCTTGTTTTTTTAATTCTCACACTTTCCACGACTTTCAAATAAACATTGCATATTTTTCAGTCAACCTATGTTTTCGTTTACCTTGGTTTGTTTCCGGGTGAACATTTCGGCCAATGCGACATGCACCTGTCTGTGGATAACTCATGAACTTTGGATGTGTGCTTCGAAACTGATTTGTAAATCTACACGCTCTAATGTATTCTTTTGGACAGGTTGTTCACAAAATTCAACAAGAAGCCTCATATATATATAATTATATATGTGTGTTTTTTTTGGTATTCCTTCCTTTAATCCCTGGTTTTTAGGGTTCACCTCCAGCTATACCATGGACCCCCCATGGTCACACATTGGCCGCTCCAGGTTGAAGTCGGATGCGGCAGCAGCCGTTTTGGCGGCGGAAGCGCCGGAGACCCGGACCTTGCGCGCGCCCTACCGGCAGCTGATGCCGAACGAAGTGCCCGCTGAGTGGGAGTCGTGAAGCACTGCTGAAACTGGTTGAAAAAGCGTGGGCTTCGGTGGCAGGTGTTTTCTTTTTGATTGGTGGTTGAGACATAGTGTCATGAAAACCTACGAAATGCAGATAATGCGGAGTGTTGGGTTGGTACATTGCGTAATCTCTTGGGAACATGAGGTTGGTGTTCAAACAGATGTCTCATGTTTTGATACAGTAAATCATGGGGCTCTGTTTCTGTTTTCCCTGAATGACCTGTCACCATCCCGTGCGAAGTTACGCGACATGTTCCACAGCGTTGCCGTTCAAAACGGCGCCCAGAACGTGTGGCCCTGTCGACCTTATCTGTAGGAATCCTCACAGTACCTGCAGAAACCTGGGGGGTTGCTGGTTGTTGCTGGTTACTCACTATGGTGCACCCAACTACTTCCAAAGGTGTTATGTATATATGTATATATAATTATATATATATATATACATATACACACATATATATATATATACATATATATACATATATCTATTATATATATATACACATTTATTATATATATACATATCTGGTTGACTTGGATAAGTTCTTTGGCCCCGGTTCCAAATGAGGATCCCTGTTATGAATAGACTGCCTGTTTGGCATTGCATTGTTTTGTAATTCAGCCAGTGCCTGGCTGATGGTGCAGCGTGCACAACGGTTAGCCCAGCTTAGTGCCCGGCAAGCAACAGACATGCTTCGCATATTCGCTTACGGATAGCCGGATCAATGACATTCGAAGGAAAGAAACGCGGGTATGGCCGTGCCTTGTGATGCGAGTCATGTGAGTATTGCAGAGTCAGAATTGGACGTGGGTTAAACCTGAAAGCCACCTGATTTTGTTCCTTATTCACATTGGGACCCAGATCATTCCAGGAACTTGGACTTGAAATAAAGGGCAGAGGGGTTTTTAATGGTGATCCAGTACCATATGCAGATGTCATGGGAATGTTTACCATCAGAGGGAGGTGTTTTAAGGGCTTGGCGCCCAGCAAAGAGACTTTATAATGAGGATGCAAAAGCTGAAGGAACAGCTTTGTCACGCTTGCGAGGCAAGCCATTGCAGACTCGGAGCAATGTTGGCTTGCGACATGTAGGATTGTAATAATTACACCGTTTCGTTTGTGGTGTCATGGACCTAAACATATTAATTGACAATGTGGGATGTTTTACTGTATGGACATCAATGATCCACAGCAAACATAAAGCATCTTGCCACCCACACCAGACCTGGAGTTCGTACATATTGACAGATTGACATAATAAATGTGCTGTACAATAAATTTAATATATATATATATATGTATGATAATAAATATATATGTATATATGTATATGATAATATGTATATATAAGATAATATATTACTATATATATACATACATATATACATATATACATATGATAATATATATATATATACATATTTACATACATATATACATATGATATAATATATATATACACATACAATTTAATGTCATATATGTATATGTGAAAGCAATTCTCTGGAATGTGTTCCATGTCAGTTTTGAAATGTTAATGTCTCATTTGAATGCTTGCCAGGCAGATATGTCCGAAGCCAGTCTGGCAGGCAGGGCTTTTAACTTGTTGAAGTTGATGTCCTGACCCGTGAATCATTGGGTTTGTCTGAAAATTACGGGAACACCCCCAAACTGTGATGCTTAAGGATCATATCCTGTCTTTTTGAAATATCTGTTGGATGGATATACTGTTGATACATCATCAGAGAAACCCATTCGGATGTAGCAACTGACGGGGAAGCCTTGGCCCTTGATGGCCTTTGATCCCAGGTTTGCGGATGACTTCCCTTGGCCCATGGCGCTGTGCCAGCCTTCACCTTTTTCAGGCAACGTATGTAAACAGTGAGGAAGCTGACTAAGCTGACACAGCTGCAAACTGGGTGGTCACCTGGGACGAAAAACTGAAAGTCATTTTTTGGTCGACTGTGTTTGATCTCTGTTTTTTTTTTTCAATAGGATGCCGTAGAATAAGTGTACATACTGGGCTACTTGCTGTAGACTGTAGATGGTTTCTTGCTTCCTCAAAAAAATGCCAGTCTGGATTCAGACATGTTCATACATGACAAGAATCGGTATTTTTTGTCTTGTGTGAATGATTAGGAATCTTTGATCCAGTACTAATGTTTCCCATTGATTCTTATAGTGATTCTTAACGGGAAACCATTTCTTTTGGAGATTCTCAGTAATTGGATGAATCATTACTAAGAATCACTATTCTCTCAATATTACTAGTATACTCAGAATCCTTACTAAGTATTTGGAAGCCATTATCTCGATACTAGGCCGCATCACTAGTTCATCACTCTGACAGCAGAGTCATCCTCCGAGGATCAGCCCTGCAGAATCGTAAGTGCTTAAGAACCCTGCAATTAAGGCCCGAAATACCAGTTATATGTTATAAATGGTTATCACTAGTTTTTTCTATGGGATTATGATGGATTATGCATTCCATAAACTGACTTACAACTGGTATTTCTGGCCATAACTGTGGTGATGCTAAGTCCCCGTTGCCTAGGCTTATCCCTTTTGTAAGTAGGTGATATCCCCGTTTCTACGAAACGACCAGGACTGTTTGCAGCTTCGGTCCCTGCCGGATTGTGTGAAGCTCGGCAAGGGCCCCCCCCTGGTCAACCGGGATTTGCTGATGGAGTTCTTCCTTTCTTTTCAGAAAATAATTGGTTTAGGACAGGATGGTTTAGGCTTATTCACCATTTAATTAATGTGTGCTTGTTGTAACAATGGTTGATTCGCCAGGGTTTGTTAAAAGAACAATGGCAAGATGAAGCCAATCCAAATCAATAAGCAGGGTGTATCCACAGATGGCTTTCTCTGCTGCAGTTGCTGTTAGTGCTTCGCCCAAGCGGCGACGTTTTTGCCTTTGAGGACCTGTCTCAACCAAGCCATTGACGCATCGCCGTGGCCCGTCGCCGTGCTTCATCTCTTAAGTGCCACTGAGATGGCGCTGAGAGTCGATGTGATCGGTTGCGGCCACTTGACCGCAATAAGGCTGGGGCTGTGGCTGTGTACCAGATGGCCGACACAAAAAAAATGTTATATCAGTTAAGGACTGAACCTGAGTTAAACATGGTAGGGCCAAAACTGAAGACACCTAATATTAACATATATTATATAACCCATCAAAACTGATACCATACTGTATTAACCCATATTAACCCATATTAGGGGATTGAACATCCATAACATCACACTATATAGGGGTTCAGCAGGCTATCTGATGCTACCGGGCTTTGTTGGAGATGGGCATCACTTCAAACAGATGTCTGTGGCTCAACATGTTTCACCGAATGAATACAACTATACTTTGGTTTGATATATATATATAATTATATAATATCTATGCAATGTACTCAATTATTCAATTACATTCCATAACAATATATATATATATGTTTGTTTTACATACGGTATGTACCTCATATCATAGGCCTATAGCACTCCCAAAGACGGTCCGAAATATTTCACAGTGGCCGTGGCATTAGCGTTGCTATGAAGCACGAAAGCCACCATCGGTGCTTACCCAGGAATTGCATCATCTTATCAGATTTATCAGCATTTCACAAGAAAACACATGTTGATTTGCAAAAACAAGAAGACCACTGTAGAAGAATTCTGATTGATTCTGTCTCTACGTGTTTTTTTTCCATATCCATATACATAATTATATATATATATACATATATTTATAGACCCAGATACTTTCCAATGATATAGACACGGGGCGAACCTACCTGGGATGGCCAAACTTCTCCGTTTCAAGCGAGGTTCCGCCCTGAAGGTGACCAGTACCTCGGCGAATGCACGGATTCGAGTTCTGGTACCTCCAATACCGTCTGGTCAACTAACATAGTTATGGAAAATCCCCACTTTGCATAGATAAATCAACTATAGATGGCCATTTTCAATAGCTATATGTAACAAATTACCAGAGGTTTTTTTTTTCCTGTGCATCATGAGTAATATTCATGTGTGCATATATATATAATTATATATATATATGGGTTGATGGGTCAAAACTCCTGATTTTGGCATGTTTTTCCAAGATTGGTGATATTATTTCATGTGCACTAAAATCCGTTGCGGAAAATCGGTTTGCGCTCTCTCTCTCTATATATATACATATTTATATATATACATATATATATATATATACATATATATATATATATGTATATATATATATATATGTATATGTGAGGAGAGCTTTTTCCATGCCTTGCCATGCTTATTGTTTACTATTATGACATTCCCATCATTTGGATGAATGAAGCTTCATATTTTCACCCGTGACCTCCGTTTTGACGGAGGTCACGGAAGCCGTTGGGAGGTGGCTCGCTGCTTGTTGTCGGCGATGTCTTGCTGGCATCTGGAAGCCAATGAAATCTGTGGCACGGCGGACGGTCGTGTCAGTTGATGGAGCTGGTGGAGCCCAATTCTGATAGCTTTTTTGTTTGTTTTGGTCACTAGGTTAACTATGGATGTTTATGGCAAGTAAATATATGGCCACAAATGGCCCTAGTTTTTATGGTATGTTCCCTGAATTTCTTTGCATGCTCACTTGGGCATTAATCAGTAATCTTCAAACTTTCAAGGTTGGTCCCGTTTTTCGGAATATCTATACGTATGGCTCACCAGATTTTAGGATATGATGTAGTAGCAAATCTCAGCAAATCTGCTTGGATGAGCATCCGAGTTGGTGTATGATTCATAGCCATGGCTACTTCATTTATACATGGAATGAACCACAGAGCATTACACTAAGTTTCATACATATGTTCTGTGGTTAGTAACCACGACTCGTTGACAATGGAACGATCCTCAGTTAATATAAGACTACATAAAACTACATTTAAAAAATGTTTGATTATGTTTGCAGTCACAAATTCATATCTATCTACAATATATATATATAGTTGGAGCACGGCCTTTATCTGGCCGTGCGTTTTCGTGCACATTGGGGGGGTGGGGTGGGGTGGGGTGGGGCATGTGTTAACGTTCATGTGAACTTGCTAGGACAGTGGACTCGTCTCTGTGTGTGCCGTTATGTGCGTGTAGACATGGGTGGGGTGGGGTGGGGTGGGGCATGTGTTAACGTTCATCAATACATAACATGTGGAATTACAAAAAATGCGTTTTCGCCTAGGCGAAATACTTGTTTTTTCATTTCCTGCACCAGAATAAGGGGTTTCTTGTCTTTGAACTCACATCAAAACAATCCAGGTCGAATTAGTTGGGGAGTTCTGAGAAACATCAAAAATGATAGTTTCGCCTAGGCGAAACGCTAGATTTTGATTTTATGCACCAGAATCACGGGTTTTTCGCCTTTGAAATCACATCAACCAAAATCCTATTGGCACGACCACATCAAACATCATCCATGACACCCCGTTGATCACAAAAACACCACGGCCAGATAAAGGCCGTGTTCCTAGTTATATATATATACACATACACATGTGATTTACGGGTTACAGCCACTTACCATCTGAGATGCACATCCAACTAGGCTCCCCCTCACCAAGCCGCCAACAAAGAAGGCGTCAATGCCGCGTCGGCGCTCGTTGGCGCGCCTTGGCGTGCGCTGGTGATGCTGACGGATATGGAGGAGGAGGTGGCGTTGTGCCAGGCAGCTTGGTTCTTTTGGTTGATGATTGTAGAGGGGTTTCCATAAATGGGGGTACCCCCATAGCTGGATGGTTTATTTCATGGAACATCCCAAGAAAAAATGGATGATTTAGGGGTACCCCGATTTCAGGAAACCTCCATATCCAAAAGTATATCCACAGGTATGTTTCGGATTAGTCCATGAACTGGGAATTCCTATCGATCATTGATTAATCTTGATGCTGCTTTTTGTGGGGATGGACGCGGCAACTGAGATGGAACCCCAAAGCATATCTTTTTAACGACCTCGAACATGATAGAGTTGACAGGGAATCGAAGCACCAAAAAACGCACTTTGAAGTGCGAGACTGGGGCAGTTTGCAGCTAAGGATTTTCTGTGCTCATCTCCTATCAGTTGTTGTCCTATCAACTGTGACTATAGGGACTATGGGGTGGTCTTTCGGCATGGCACCAAATGAATCCAGTAAACGTGTTTTAGTCTTTTCCTCGGAGTGTCCAATACCGTGTCTGTGGTTCAAGTGTAGTAACCCAAAAAAGATAGAAAAGTAAATGCTAATGAAATAGTGATGATCATAATGAAATCGTGATGAATGACAATTTACTTATCTATCTTGTGGGAAACATTATACCCACGGGACTAGTAACTCGCAAGAGGATGGGCCCTGCTTCTACCTGTAACTAGTTGGGTCGTTTATTCACAACTAGTGAGGCCGTTCTTTGTTGTTCTGGGATTTGTGTGTGTGTGAACCACCAACCATGTATATATATATACATATACATATATATATATATTTACTTATTTATTTATACATATACATATACATATATATATATATGATATACATATATATATATATATGTATATGTATATGTGTATATATATATATATATATGCGCATGTGTTAAGCAAACACGTGGATTGTATATATGTATATTTATATATATATATGCATACTTTTCCTTATCTCCATTCAGTGTTGATGACAGCTCATAATCTGGTGCTCGAATTCCTGCGGTTTAAGGGTGGCTCAGCTAATGCAACCAGCCGTATTGTTATACATGTATAAGATTGAATATGACTGTATTTCAACAATAAGTAATAAGCAACGTAGATGTTGAAGATAATCTATGAGAATCTAACATATCCACTAACTATAATGTAGTTAAAATAAGACAACTATATCCTTCCACCTTTAACTTTTCTTTTCAAAATAAGCTACGGCTCATTGAATTGTCCACATCGGCTCCTTAGGCAATCGACGCATCTGCTCATCAGGGCCAGTGGCAGCAGCCGCTGGCATGGCTTTCCGCATCCTTTCAGGTGGGAAAACCTGATCTGATGCACGGAAGGGGTAAACATCGAAGACATACAATATTCGCACTTCTCCACATATGCATACATGACTATGTATACATACAAATTCGCACACACACACATGTTTATTCATTGTGTATCATTGGACACACAAGTGTGTATACATATATGTGTATTCTATAGATGTGTATATATATATATATGCATGTACAATGTACAATGTACATGTAAAGATGTTGGTATGTGCCTGCCAGATATAAGTTGGTTTGATGTATATCCCATATATCCGACTCAGCTGCTAGTCATATACCAACGTCATTCCGAACTGCGGCCACCCAAGCTGTGTTTATTGGTTTATAAACCCCAAGAACTAGTTCATTACAGGTATCATAAGCCATGATGGAATTGGAGAGTTTCTGTTCTTCAACTTATCATAAATCAGCATCATCAGAAGCCATAATGGTATCATAAGCCATTTCATCAGCTAATTTCCATCATAAGTTCATAAGCCATCATCAGAAATCTTACCATGGAAACCCCATGGAAATCCTTTCGTCAGGCCGGGGCCGGAAGCCTCCAGGGCTTGGCTGCTGCCATGACGGCCGCCAACAGGCCGACCCAAAAAAGGGACCCAAAAAGAACGGCAGAGGACTGGTTTAGTTTTGATGCAATATATATATATATATATTAGATAGTTAACATGAATTACATTATATATATATATATCTATATACATATGTGTGTGTGTGTGATACCCTATGGTGATTTAACCAACAAAGATGGTGATATCATGGTGATTGCTGGGATATCCTGCATCAATGGAGTTTTTTTTTTTTTAATGGGAAAACCATCCAGAAATGGTGTGTCTGTCCCATTGCCATGTTCGATTGCCGAAGGAGATAGTATTAAACCATCCAATCATATCCAATCATATGTGTATCCTATTTTGACCCATACATAAGAATCAAACAATAGGAATGCATAAAGCACAAGTATTCAAAAAATATGATCAAATAACTATAATAGCAACTGTGCAACAAATGTACATCGACATCAAAACATAGTCTTTATACAAGTCACCCGAGAATGGTGGACAGGATGTAGGTATAGAATGGTAAAGAGCGCATACACAATGATGTGATGTCTACATACATACATACATACATCCATCCATCCATACATACATACATACATACATATATATATATATATACATATGTATATATATATATATATATGAACACATGTTTGCCTGTTACAGAGACCTATTTGTATATACATAGATATACACTTTTCACTTGGCAGTTCAAAATCATCACTTTGGGGCTGTTGAACGCCTTTTTGAAGGATCAAAAGGTAAGTGACTTCAAGCCAAGGGATTGCAAGGTCAAAACCACCCATATTTGAACAGTTTTGTTGTCAAAATTCCATCGTTGCAGGATAAAAAACATGTTTGATATTGTTTGTATTGAAACAAACAACCCCTTCCAACCGAATATCTCTACGAAACTTTGGCTTTGTATTGGATCAACTCATTTTGGGGGCTCATTTGGTGAAAGTTAATGTCAGAGGTGGGATTCCATGTGCAGGCTATATCTATATTTGTATGTTTTTCTTTACATAACACTGGCTGAATGATTTTTACTTACCTCGCAGCGATATCACCAAACATGAAAATTGGTAAGGGCACGGGCACCTCCCAACAATGAATGATTTTATTTAAGTTTGGTGAATTACTATATTACAGACAGGTAGATAGGTACATAGATGGATTGGTTTGATTTGGTTTGGCTTAAATAGACAGATCTCGTAGATAGAGAGAGGTAATTAGATAGATAAGTAGATAAGTAGATACGTATAGATGGGTAGATAGGTTTATGTATGTGTTATAGATATAATCTGCCTATACGCGTATTTATATATACATATAGATAGATAGATAGATAGATAGATAGATAGATAGACATATAGATTTGATTTGATTTGATTAGATTAGAATAGATTAGACTAGATTAGATAGGATAGATAGATAGATAGATAGATCAATAGATTGTTTGATAGATAAATAGATTGATAGATAGAAAAATAGATTGATAGATTGATAGATTGGTAAATTGATTGTTTGATAGATTGATCGATTGATCGCTTGATAAATAGATTGATTTTGATAGATAGTTAGATAGATTGATAGATTGATAGATAGATAAACATATTGATGGATAGATAGATAGAAATATAGATAGATAGATAGATAGAGATATTTTAATTTTTCCATCATAGTCCACCATTGAAATAGCAAGACATCCCCGTATGTATGTTTCGCTGAAACACCGAAATTGTTTCCTTTCCAGGCAACACTGGCAGTTCTCACTGCTGATTCTGGGCATGACACATCTGAGGCGGGATCCATGGGGATGTTTTTTTGGGGGGGCGTTGATCATTGGTTATCTGGTTAGTGGTTTGGAACATGTTTTATTGTTCCATATATTGGGAATAATAATCCCAGCTGACTTTCATATTTTTCAGAGGGGTAGGTCAAACACCAACCAGTTATGAAAAGATCTGGTGATTGTTGGTTTTGATGAGTTTATCAACCGTGTGCAGGCGGATCTATTCCAAATTGTCCCCCAAGGTTATACCGTTATACCCAACAGCAAACCACACCGACTGGGCATGGAAAAAAATGTGGATCCGTCACGTTTTTAGCTTTCTGGCTGATGGAACATCCATATCCCGGAAACCAGCCACAGAATTGGTCGGAACATTTAAAAAACCCGATAGTATGCCTATATTTGTTTGGGAAAAAAAAACATGGTTTCCGGCTATAAGTCTTTTCCCTTGAGCCAGTCCATTGAGTTTAGACCCATTTCTTGGCCAACCGTTCCAAGGAATCTCCCTCTGGGTTTCCAAATCCCATCCAGACATTTCTTTGGAACAAAAACATAAGGTATAAAGTGTCTATACGTGGCAAAATCTACCGTTAAACTAGATTTAAACAGTAAAACAAACACAACAGTTGGTTGATGTTTTAAATACTATACATATATAGTCATCCTGGAGTAGATAGAATATGATGTTTCGTGAAACATATAAATATCATGGACACGTTCATTTTCTAGCTACTTCAAGATAACTATGTATATATATATGATTATATACATATATGATTTATATATGTATATATAATCGTATATATATATATATGTATAAATATATATATGTGTATATATATACATATCACAGTGATTTCCAATTGTAAATAAATCCACCAAGAACTCGTGGCTCGAGGATGCAGCCCGACAGCGTGGTTCTCACCTGCGCCCTGGCGGCCCTTGAGAAAGCCTCTGAGTGGCAAGCGGCTGGTTCTTTGTTGGCCGCTGGGATATTGCGCGAGCTGGAACTGGAGATTTTCTGGAGATTTTCTGGGGATATGGGGATAGAATTTGGGGATATGACATATATGTCCATCTGGTAATTTGAACCTCTGTTTTATAAAATTATTTACCTATATGGAAGATGGCAATGTTCAAGTTTTCAGAGCTATGTCATATATAATAGATTACGACCGGGTAGTATGGGAATATACAATCAATCAACTATGATTATTGGGTGGGGCGAAAAATAGAGTATAGCACCATCTCTGGCGACTTCAATAGGGAAAGCGATGATGAACTAGTGGATGGAATGGGGTACGCTATTTTCGGGCGGGCTTTTGGGTCAAGGAAAATCAGCATTAAGCCACAAAATCCCTTCACAATGACGAGCTGTGCCCTTGGCCACATACAGGCCAGGCCAAATGAACCCCTGAAGTTCGACGTTGCATAGATGTAAAAACACACCTCAGAGAATTCCTGGGCCCCGATTCATATTTCTTGCATCTAAATTCATATCAACCACGGTGGATGTGCGGGATTTACATACACATATTTGAGACTATACAATACAACCGGTGTTTAATATTGAATGAATTGAATTAAGATGTTGTTGACTGGAAGATTTTCTCCACTGGAAGATACTGATAGATAATATAAGATTCCCATAGTGGGATTACCCTCCTGTAATCAAACTTGAAAATCATGCATTTTGTTCGATGATTTTCCCAGCTATAACATCCATTTAGTTCAGGGATGGTCATTTTTAAGCCCGCAATGTTTGATGACACCAATCATTATATAATCATTAATCACCATTGTGTGACATTGTTAATCATGATTGACCAACATTTCTGCTCCTCTTTCCGACAGTTTTGACAGCGGGTCTCAGGAAGAGATGACACGTCACAGCCTGGCCAATGAGCACAGTGGCTGGGCGTATCAATGACAGTCCTTCTTGGATCTGCTGGACCCAGGTTGTTGGTTTTTTTTTTTTTTTTTTTTTTTTTTTTTTTTTTGCGAAGCATACTATACACCATTTATATGTGGGTTCTATATGTTGTACAAGGTTTGATAAGTTATTGGCCACTTAAGATGCCTTTTTGGCTTCAAAAGGCCGTGAATCGCTAGAAAATCTTTCGTTGTGAGCTGTTGATGCCCCACAAAGAGGTGAAGATTGGCTAAAAAGTGGTGGAGAGGGGTTGGGAATCGCATACTGTAGCGAAACTATTTGTCAAGCGGGACATGTGGGACCGTCATGCGAGGTCATATGAAGAAGAACAAACACATGCGTGAAACAAAAACAACTAGGACCTAAGCATCCTTGTTACCGTTGTTGTTTCAACTTGTTTCATCACATCCTTTCGCTATCCCAAAATACCCCCTCGTTAGTGCTTCGAATTTCTGCCGAAATCGAGGGGGTGCTGAAATCATTGCGATGTAAAGCACACGATGAAGATGAAACCCAGAACGAAGAGTTGGTTGGTACTTTCCTGAGAGGTCCATTCAGGATCTCGAAGCTAGGAATCAAATCTCTACTTTCTCTTGATTGCTGGTCCTCATCAATCATGAAAGCTACTAGATGCTACTAGTAGGGTGAAAAATGAATACACGTTTCAAACCATTAGAAGTCAGGGTTTTGGCCTGGACATGCAAAAATATCAGAACAATTCAGAACAGCGTTTCCCAGCCCTATAAACCTGTTGCTTGGAAACCCTGCAAGTTATCCCTCCATCCATTGCCTGATGGTTCTGGGCAAAGCATGGCGACTTCACTAAGTAAATGATGATATACCAAAGTGGCTTCAATAAGAATTGGGAAGTATGATAGATTTCCCAGATACATTGAATCTAGATTTTCGCCCACTAGTTACCCGTGTTTAAACGATATGTTTGATATGTATATATATATATATGATTGTTAAATCCCACTAGTTACAGATTAACTAATCTAACTATATATATGTACTATCCATACCTTCCTAGTTTCCCTACACATTCACTATATAATCTTTTCCGTCGCCCACAAGGCTTCACCGCCGCCATTGCCGCTTGCGAACGCGCGGTGAAAAGTTGCGAATTCGCAAACATTCAGAGGGATGGAACAGCTGGGTACTTTTTTGTGGCTCGGAAGGTCTAAATTGATGTTAGATATCCCTAACCTTCTAGCTACCTATGGGAAAGGTTACCAGGAAGACTAGGGTATGTTGGTTTACCCTATAGTTTTATGATCATACCATTAATTGAAATTCATGAATTCATGTTTTTTTTCCCCAGTAATAACGGGATAGACTTCCATTTTGTTTAGCCAGCAATGAATGGGGATTTTTATGTGATATCCATTACGAAACGTCAGCAGAACTCATTTGAGCAGTGTTGGTTGATGCTTAGTTCGGGGATTCCATTAATCTTTAGATATTGGGGAGAATCACATGAGGGGAATCCCTATCAAGCAACCAGTATAAATAGGGCTGCTCCAACCCATTAGAAGTGAAATCATAGCCAATTATAGCGGAGAAATGGGTCATTTATGGTCATTTCATCTCTTCTCTTTAATGCTTTTTGACTAACATTAACTAATCATTTAGCCCCTCTTTGTGTCTGGGGTGTTGGGAGCAACTGCGATAGGATCTCATGGTGAACATCGCCCAGTGGCGTCAAGCTCTTGGTCGACAGCCGACAGGTTGACCCGAATGCCATGGCATGGGCGATATTCCATGGGGATGTCGTGGGGATATAATGGGATATACATAATGTATCATAATATATATATATATATACATATATATATTATATATATATATATTATATGTATATTGGCATATATTTGGAATCCTCATAGGTAGAACATTATTTTCGGATATTTTCGGTATTCCATATTCATATTCCTTTTTGTTGATGTTTTTTTTTATTAGCAATGTTTTATCTACTCCAGGATGACCTATAAATGTACATGACTATGTGTTTTATTTATTATTCAGCCACCTTCTTGGCTGAGAACATGATGATACATCATTGCGGTTTTGGGTGCTATCTTTTCCGACAGGCCCAAATGTTTATTGATTCGTTATAAATCATATATTGTATTCCCAGCAAAGAAAACAACTAATAGGTCCATTTTGTTCAGAAATCATGTTTCTCAACTCAATGGAGTCAAGCCCAGATTGCCGACTTGCCAATCGATGCGGGTCTGAAGATAGGGAATTCTCCCCAAAGGTCTCTTTTATCTTGTGGTGAAAACAATATCTACTGCAACTATCTTTGTTTTTTTTGGTTCCCTATCTTCACACAAATTCATGTGACGTTCAACTTTGGGGTGAGAAATCATAAGTTTCTTCCCATTTACCTTGGTCGAATGAGTTGATTGCCTACTTTTTTACATTATCATATAGTCCAACAATATACCCATGATAAATCTATATATATATATATATATTCATAATATATATATATATATATTCATAATATATATATATATTCATTATATATATATATATTTAGTTGGATTGACAGTAAGCCAGTTCCGGATGGTCATCCCATCGCTTTGAAGGTGAGCTGTTCTTCGCCTGCGCACACTTCCCGGATCCCTGGCAACGCTACCGACGGGAGGTGGACTCCACGTGCGGAGCCCTGGACTCAACGTCTTTGTCGTTGAAGAAGGTTTGGTGACTTTATTGATGGATTTATAGCTAATATATATATATATATTTAGATAGATAGATGTCTTTGATGTCTCTCTCTCTCTCTCTTTACAGTCAAGTATATAAGCTGATTCTAAGATGTAGATCTACACAGAGTTCTTCAAACTATAGTCAAAGTATATTGACCTCAGTGACTCAGTGACAGCCCTCAGCAGTCTTGCGTTGCGCACATTATGCTGGTGAACATGGCATGTCCAACTACAAGGCGGCGCCTGCCAGTTTGGGTTTGTAAACCCATCTATAAAATAGTGAATGATAGAATTATATATCCACCGTAAAACCAAGAGTTTTCACACTTATTTCAACCAACTCAGCTAAGATTGTGGAGCTCCCAACTGGTTCAATCTATCCTATTCCCCATGATGTGCCCACGACATGACCATTATATCCCGATCCCGATCCCAAATGCCCCATGGTGCTGGAATATGTACTAACATTTACCCGAAAAAATATGAAAAAATGAGAATGAACAATTTTTCTTCAAACTATGGATGAGAATTATAGTACTTAAATGTACTTAAATCCATAATGATGATGATTTCCCAAAAGATACCTGGTAAGGTGAATATGTTGGAATTTCTGTGGATTTTGAAAATTTGTTCAAATTGATGTTTCCACGAAACTTTTTCACTGAGGTACGGAAATTTACGTCGATGATTGTTCTCGATCGCTTTTTTACGTGGATCCGTCAAATCCATATTATATATATAAATACATATATATATATATATATAACTTGTCTTATTTAGTTCAATCCAAAAACTCCTTGGCTGCTGGGGTTTCTTCATTTTTTGCAACAGTATTTGAACATATATACATATAAAATACAGTTAAACAGTATGTGAAAAACATGCAAACAGTATGTGAAATACGTGCAAACAGTATATGTGAGATACATGCAAAAAACATACATGAAATACATGCAAGCAGTATGTGTCGCACTTGCTTTCCATATATACCCAAAAATGCCCACACTCTCCCTGGTTCCATTTCTTCCCATCCTTAGACTTCCCTTTGCGTCCATGCAAGAAAAGCTTGAGTGAGATATCTCTCGATGCTTCGCTGAGAGACTAGCCTGGGTGAGACATTTCTAGCCAAAAATGCTAGTCTTCCGACGAAATCTTCGTCGATACTACAGCTTTCTGCCAATATATTCCAAGCATAGGATCCTCTTTCTGATTGCAACTTCAGTGCATACGCACATTCGTGCAGCATATGAAGTTTGGGCCTAAGAGCAAACATAGGTTGCCCCCTTTGTCCAGACAAAAACGCCAAAAAGGTGTAGCATTTGACAGAACTGGTTCCTTCCTTGGCTATTTCTTTAGCCTCTCTGGCAGGTATCCACATGTCATGGTGGTAGAGGGTTCGCATGAACTTGTTGATGGATCGTATGCCAACTAGCAGGTATCGATAGCGTGAATCCTCATGTTTCAAGAGAGTCTCTTTGTTTTCCTCGCAGTAGTGCTCCAAAAACTCCAAGAGTGTCACTGTCAACTCTCCCTTGTTCCACGAGCCATAAGGCTCATCCCGCAACCCCGCACCACCAACCATTTTCTTGTCGAGCTTTGTCACGTACTTGGTTTTCTGAAATTGTTTGCACCAAGCAAGGTATTTCTCTGAAAGAATCTGAAACCTGTCGTCTATGTTTGAAGCACAAATGTCACGTACTAACAAACACATAGCTGATGCCGCAAAGTCCTTGCCAACACCCAGCTGAACTGTGTGCCAGATATCCACCTTATAGAATCGGGATTTGCCGTTGACAGCTGTATCTTGATATGGGAAGATGGTCCATGGGGATTCCACAGTCCATGGAAGTTCGATCTCCTCCTCATACGACCGTCGAATCATACCTTCTGCTGCACTCCTCAGGTTAGGAAAGGATGTGAGGTTTATAGGACACATTCCCACTTGAAAAAACAAATCTCTCTACAATCCCAGATTTTCCTTTATACATATATATATAAGTTATATAAGAGAATAAAGTCATGCGTATACATGAAAAGGTTCATTTTCATATCTTCAGGCAAAAAGCATATCTTCCCAATCAAAGCCTTTCAATCCCGCTTGGCAGAGGTGACAAATGCCTCCTGGATCGGTTTCCTTTTTTGTTGCACCCTGGTCACCTGCATGTTTGGGGCCCCGTCGATAGGATCGCTGAAGGTTGCCAGCCTCCACCTAAGTTCACTATACAGGGCCACATGTAGATATATATAAAAGGAACACATATAAGTTCACCAATGTTTTTCCCCTGTTGAACCAACAGATATTCAAAATGAAGCACCGCCAAAACCAAAAAAACATCGCCCCTGTTGTTTCCAAGAAACATGAAAAGACCAGTCAGCCTTTAGACCCAACAGGATTGGGAATACTTGGGTGCCTTCAAGCGCAACCCCATGGCGCTCCAAAACACCCCAATCTTCCGCTAGCAGCTCTTGGATCTGCTCGAAGACCTCCCGGTCATCCTCGTAGAGCTCCTGAATGATGGATTGTGGAAATGCCCCCATATTGACTTAATTGAATGGGATAAACATATGTACAGATACATAGGGGGGAAATAGATAGATAGATAGATAGATAGATAGATAGACAGATAGATAGATAGATAGATAGATATAAATAAATATATATATATATGGAAAGTTTTAGCGGCAACTGGCACTGAAGAATCAAAGGTCAACCATGTGAAAGCGAAAAACAAACTTGACTTGGGGTATAATGCATGGGTCAGCTAAAAGTATATAACCTGGCAGTCCTTGGGGCACACCACGGATAAAAATCGTGTAGCAATTGCAGTCTTGAGGAAATTCATAGGAATGCCCGCATCACTGGTCTCCATAACCTGTAGGATGGCTTTCTGATTTGGTAAAAGGGGAGCGGGGCAAAACTTTGGTTGACAAAAAAAGGATCCGAATAGGATTGGGGACCCATAGGTTTTTTGTTGCACAGCTACATCTATATAAATTGTGAAACCATTTATGTTGCAAAGCTACATGTGCATACAAGTATATATATAATAAATGTAAAAGCCAAAATGTTCAAATCACTTTCACCCAAATGGCCTGTACATTTGGGGAGCGCCTGCTGCCAAAACCAAGGGCCGGTTGAAATGCAGCGATAAGGACCCCCTTTTTTTTGTAGCCAGTCCCTTCGTCCGCATGAGCAAAGAAGGGGATGTACTTTGAAAAGTCAACATTCCCCACAGTTGTTTTGAACAGCTCAAAATCTGGATGGATCTGTTGGTACCGTTCCCAAAAGGTCCTCAGTGTTGGTGCCGCCTCTTTAAGGGACATACCACCAAGTAGTTTCGAAAAGTCCCCATTTGCAGCCAAGGCTTGAATATATGAACTCGGGCGGATCCAAGGGAACTCTTCAAGATAGCCCACGGTGGATAAGCTAATCTCAACATTGTATCTCATGTTGAACTTGGCAAACGTGGCCGACACGCCTTCCTCCTTATATCAAGCAGGTTGGGCAGCCAACCGTCAACCCCTGATGGAGTGTAAGGTGGGGCAACCCACACATATACAGTATTATACTTGGTGTATATATACATATATACATATATATATATATATATGAATGGTTCCTTTATGGGAAGATATGGGAATCAGAGATCGGGAATAGATATATAATATATAACACCTGTTTTTGATATATATATATATATTTATTTATTTATTTATTTAAGGACAAGGCTCCGAATCATCATGTCGAATCCGGGCCAATTCAGACATCACAGGGCACAACCTTGAAGAATTCGTCCTGAACGAATCCACTGCATCACGAACATCAGCAATAGCAGAGTTGATGATCTCAGTGCAAGACTCCTGAGCCATATGTGAAGGAGGCTCATGATGCATGTAAGTTATCTCCAAACCTTGTTCAAACAAAACCGTGGAGATCACTATATACAAATAAAATGTATATCAACACATTGTTTTTTATATAATATGTGTATATATATGTAAAGGTGTTCTGTTTTCAATCGATTACCTGTTGCGAACATAGACAATTTTGCAGCTGGGGGTCGCCGCGACTGTACTGCCATGCAAGCCTATACGCTTTGCGCGAAGGCCCTGGCATGTCAACCAGGGGAAAATGGTGATGGGATGTGAAAACACATTGGGGATCCAACCCTCTAGGGTTCAAGAAGGGCATATATGTGTATATATATATATTATATGCATGCATGTGCTATATCTTCATTCATCGACTGAGTCAATTGGCCATGCAAAGTGGCAGATCCCTTTTTTTGGCGTCAGTTTGCATCATACTGCGCACACACCCTGATCGATCCATCCAGAGTGAAGGCTGCTATATGAGCTGCATAGTTCATGTGAGATTGCTAAGCTGCGTACATCAATGTTCTCACTGATGTAGTCCCAAAACATCGAAATTGCCAACGAGCAGGAAGCCAGCTCAAAGACTGTGGCTCTATCCCCTCAAAATTTGAAACCACACTTTTTGATGGAGAATGAATCACATCAACCAAAGATGGAATGTTTGGGGTTCCTCAACATGTTCGGGGTTGCTCACAGCCAAGTGCAATCCGTCGACCCCAACTTTGCTCTGAAGTTTCACTTCTGAGATTTCTTTTTGTGGGATTTGCGAACGCACTGTTTGGGAGTCTTGTCAACCGTTTTGGTTTCCGAGTTCTTCTTCTTGGATTTCTTAGCTGGGGGTTCCTGTGAATCTCGCGTCTTGCCCTTGTTCTTACGCTTGCGGCCACGCTGCGCCGGAGTGGTCTCAGCCTCTGGAACCTTACCATTGTTGGCCTTTGCCTTGGCCTTCGTGATGTCCCGCTTGAGCCTCTTGTAGTTGATGTCGATGGTGAGAAGGTCCGCACAGGCTGGCTTGATGTCCTCCTTGACCTTCTCGATCTTCCCGCGAAACCTCAGCTTTTGAATGCCCTATGCATGTGATCGATTTTGTGTCTCATATACCATATATATATATGTGCATTTATATATATATATATATACATATATGTTTATATGTGTGTTTGCGTAAATGTGTATCTGTGTGCACTTGCTTGCTACGCATCCGGAATCTAAAGTGTTCTTTTCCTGCATGGCCACGCGATGTCATTTGTTTCCAGTTGCCTTGTCGGCTTCCAGATTCTTCTCCATATTTTCAAAAATTGATGTGCCCAAGCCTTCTACAATTTCCACAGGCTTTGGGGGCGTAGGAGGTGTCTTGAAACTGCGAAATGCCAGATAAACAAAGAATGGCCCGTTCAAGGCAAAAGCCTGCTTGACCCCTTCGCCGCCAGGCCTCTCATTCTGGAACCCCTGCTTTCCTGAGGCAGCGGCTTGACGGAAAGGGATTGGAGGTCACGTCAGGAAAACCAAAATATATACTGCAAATGCATGGATGTATAAATGTATATAGATATATCTATAACATATAAGCATGCATGATATATACATATATATATGACATATGCCAAAAAATCAAAATTGACGGAACTATATGGAACAAGCTTCCGTCATGTAGTGCGATCAGAGCTGCTTCTAGATATGCAGCAACTTCGGGATTGTGGTGGGCAAAGAGTACGATCATTTGTTGATACTTGTCCTTCTTGTAGCCGAAAGTAGGATTGTGGAATCGGAAACTTGGGTCGTGGGTGAACCCAATCTTGAATGACATCGGGGCAAACCTGTAGTCGGTGGATTCGATCACCCGCTTGGCATGGTCTAAGACACGACCACTGGTAGAATTCTTGGGAGGGAGCCACACCCTCACAAATGGGTCATCCTCCATCTCCTTAAAAACATCTGGTGTCCTCGGCAAAGAAAATGTGATATCATCTAAAATTCCCACCCACTTTGATCCCTTTCCACTCACCAATGAATCCCATCCACTTTTTCTTGTAAACGTCGAGCAAGGTGGCGCTAGCTGTGCTACCCTTGCCTCTGGTGGAGGCGCCAGCGGCATCATGAGGAGAGACGGTGCCTGAGAACAGGGAAAAGCGATGCTGAATTGGGTTACATTAAACAATTTTGGTTATATAACGTTGCATCCAACATGAGATCCTATATATATATATATACATATGATCATAAATATATATATATATATGTGATTCCTGTTGCAAGCCAAATTCAAAAAACTATATTTTTTGCAGGAAATGCAATCTAGGCACATTGCGGTTGTAGGAAACAAGCTCTTGCAGCCATGCGGAGCTGGGATCCATTGGCAATTAAGCTGAAGATCAGCAGGGCTCGGAAAGTAAGAAAACTATATACAGTAAACCATAGATCCCCCGAATATTTGAGCAAAACCTGGACGACCGAACCCGTCTGGAAAACAATTTCAATTTTAGGATTGAGTTCTCGGTGTGCTTGAGCATGCCCTGTATCGGTGTATATATATATATACATATGTGTGTGTGTGTTCAAAGTTCCAGTGGCGGCTTCCGTATGAGCCGCTCCCATACCCTTAGTGCAGCTTAAAGTAACTCCATCAACTTAGCCTCCTGGGGCTTCTTGTCAAGCTCTTGCATCTTCATGTCCGTCATGTATCCGGCCAGGGTCTTGAAAGACGCCTCCATCTTGCCGATAATCCTCTTGAGATCATCTGCCATCCTGGGGTGGTGGCTTGGCTGGCAAGGATATAGTTAAGCCTCTTGGGTCTATAGTTTGAAACATCTATCTATATATATATATAATTATATATATATATTATATTGACATGTAAACGAAAATATGCATCACCAAGAAGATGATAGTTTGGATGAGTTTCACATTGTAGCGTTCCATGGGAGGTGGGTTGGACGGGTCTTCCAGTACCTCAACCATGTCATAGGCCGAACTCATCTTGGTGTTCATCGTTTCCATGAACTTTTCCAAATCCGGCATCACCTTGCAAGCAAGGGAGGGGCCTACGGCATCAATGTGTATATGGAACTGTACTGGGTCTACATAGGTATACTTCGCACAATGGGACACTGATATATGGACTTATAAATATACTCACATGGGCTGGCTGACCCACTATTTTTTTGCCTTGGCACCTGCTCTCCCAAAGCCTCCGGTGCGGGTGTGTCCTCGTCTCCCATGGCATCCAAGGCATCTGGTCCTTTGGGAGCATTCTCTGAACGGATGTCCTTGGTCAGCTGGCAGCAGGAGAGTTGGGATAGGAGGAGTGTATGTCATTTATATATATATATATTTGTTATAAAGATATAAAGGACGGTTTCAGAATGTTTCAGATAGCAAGATTGTCTTTCGTACATGATTATATATATATATTGATATATGCATATATATGATCTCACATGGGAACAAATTTGACATTTCAGCTGAAGGTCATCCATCTCAGTGGTGTGACGTTCCCGGTAGATGTCTGCCCGTTTAACCTTCACCACCGTTTCATCCTCGACAAAGAATTCCTCCACCTCATTGTTATATTTCCAGGCACGCACCAATGCCTGGGGGAACTTTCTGCAGTAGGCTGTGATTGCCTTGACGGTCAGCCTGAGATGGTTGAGACACACCCGGGTGGCTCCGAATTGGTTTCTTTATTTCCCCTCAAAATCTCTATGTATGTATATATCAAAAAGGGTATACAAAGGCGGTCATCCCAAACATTGGCAGTCATATATTGATTTTTGTAAACCGGGGTACGGGGCATAGTCTGCCTTCATCTTTTCTTCCGTCAACCATTTGCCCGTCACCTCCTGCTCCTTGGAGCTCATCCTCTCCCTAACCCGAACCACTCGCGTCAAGAACTCTGCCTGACAGGGGATGACGGAATCTGTTTATCTATATATAACCAAATCACTCATATATGTATATATTATATCCGAAGTTTTTATGCATATATATATATACATAAAATTAAACCCCTTGTGAAGTCTGCCTCAAAAAAACAACAACACCTGACCTTGACTTTCTGGTAGTTGGTTCTGTTTGTGCCGTGTTTTTTAAGACTCTCGAGCAGTGCAAGCTCCAACCACTGCCGGCGTTCACCCCCGGACTTGTAGTCATCCTTTGTTTGTTGATCCACCCATTGGCGCCCGGACGCTTTGGTTTCGCAAAGGCGTCTGAGACGCATGCGCAATGCATCCGCCCCAAGCACCTCAGATTGCAGCTTGCCGCAGGGAGGGAGGGGACAGAGGATCTGATGAAAAATAAATTTTGTATACATAATTATATAGATAACAAACCATAACATGAAAAATAAATAAACACACGGCAAATTCCTGTTTATGGATGTTATAGGTGATGTTATAGGTGGTCTATCATGGTGTGCCCGTATGTGGGAAATAAACCCCTAACCTCAATTTGAAATAATTAAACATTATAGCCAACATATGGTGAAGAACTTTGGTGCCATCTGGATGGACAATTGGTGGATCGTGGTCTTCATTTTCACCTTCATCGCCCGGACCATCGTCTTCATCATCCGGGGCAGCCTTGTCGGTATCACCTTTTTTGGTTGCACCCTTAACATCAGGGCCACCACGAGGAGTCTTAGAATCTTTTGCAATTTGGGCCTGCAGCTCCTCAATCTTCTTGAGAGCCGTCATCAAGAGCTCATTATCTTGTTCTGCCTCCGTAAGCAGGTAAAGAAGGTTTCAACGGGTGCTTGCATAAACAAATTGTATATAGCAACAACAACCACATGTAGAAAATGGTTAGAAGGAAGACCCACTAGCCCCAGCCCCAGGGTGTTCTTTGACTAAATATATATATATATAAGTCTTTGTGTTGAAAACGCCCTTCAAGGAAAACAAACAAACACATATACACACACACATATATATATACATATAATATAGAGAGAGGGAGAGACCACCCCAAACAGCGCCACACCCAGGCTGGCTGGTATCCTTGTTGGTTGGAGAAGTGGCTGCAGAAGGCAACGCCGTCTCGGAAGGAGATGTCACGGGCGTAGCTGGGGTAGAATTGAGCATGTCGAGGAGCTCCTGGGTATCCTGATCATATAGCAGGTTAAGCACATGTGCAAGGGTCCCCTGCAAATAAATATGTGGATGTATATATGACATGTATAAACATGCATTATATATGTGCCCTGTGCATACATGACATGCCCTTACATGATGTATAAACAAAAGTTGTCCATATATAGCGAATGTGGTTTGGGCCCATGCATTTATTATCATGGCAGATCCCCATTGGTCTATATTAATCTGGTGTTTCAATCATGCACCAGTGCAGACTAGGGTCAGCTGGCACGGTGTCCGCTTCAGCGAGGGATTGGGGTTGCATCTCCTCGGGGACAAACACCCATTCTTACTTTATTTATATATATATATATAAGGAAATGCATTTTGTGTTCAACACATATACCAACATTGACATCCCTGAGATCATGTGCGTTACATTTATAGGATTGATTTTCTCATGCTCCTAAACTGTTTTTGCTGCCAAAGCACACCACCTTGGCTGGGAGCAGCAGCTGGAGCAGCGGCTGAAACTTTCACCTGGGCAGTGACAGGGGCCCCCCCATATACACAGAAGCTTGCTGGTCCTGATAAATTTCCGCTTGGGTTGGTTCACCAAAAAAGCCCCCCACAAGTCCCCCAAAAACAGTGTTTTCCCCTTATTTTATGAAAGATTTTGGGACTTGTGGGGGGCTTTTTTGGGGGACCAACCCAAGTGGAAATTAACAGCTGGTCCTGGTTCTGGTTCTACAGCATCGAAACAAACAAAAAATTGCGTTCATGGGTGCATATACGCAACATCCACGTGAATAATGTGTGACCTAATCCGGACACGAGACTGGAGATTTGGGTTCCACCTTGACCGGCTTCAGTGCCGGGGCCGGGCAAGACTTGGCCTTGGCCATAGCCCTTTTCTGCATGGCAACCTGCACATTGTGAGGGCAAATGAATGGCCCTGGTGATTTATATATGTAACCTCATGCAGGTGTTTTATAGAAAAACAAAACCATCAGATCCATCACATATATAGAAAGATCAACCTATATATGCATATATACACATAACATATATACATATATACCCCTTATTGGAATCACAATGATCGAGATATTATAAGTCGATCCATCATCAAACCGAACCTGAAGAACCTGCTTGAGCTGGTCAGCAGTGAGCTTATTGATATCCAACTTGGCAATCCCCTGACAGGCTTCGGTGCCAGCTGCCAAGGACTGCGCGGAGTGCAGGTTGCTGCGTAGTGTCTCTTTCGACATGGGCGAATGGCGAATAGGCAAGGGCTTGGACTAACCAACCCAAAATTTCAAACCAAGATCCTATAGCAGGAAAATTCATATATATTGACATGTGCAGTCACATGTGTGTTGAACTTGTTCTTCTGTCCAACGTTGTACAACCAATGGCACACAGTGGCTCCAAAATGGTCTGTTTTCGGCACCCACCATGGAAATCCACGGCTTAATTACGCCGTTTTTGATATTAATTTGTCCGAATGTGGCATAATCATGGCCATGTCGTTGGAATATTTCCGAACTTTTCCGAAAAGTCAACCAAACAGTGCCAAACAGTGAACAAAAAGTCTATAATTATGGATGTTCAAAAGTTCATTTTTTTACGCAATTTTTGCGTAAAACTGAACGCCATGTGAACGCCATCTGAACGCCATCTGAACGCCTTTCGAACGGGTACGGTTTTTTACGTGGATGAACGGGTACGATTATTCACATGGATTGGTTGATTGTTTATGTGGATTTACGGTTTTTTACGTGGATGAACGGTCTGTTTTTTTCAGTTTTTCTCCAAGTCCAAAATTTGAACAAAAAATGCCAAAAAATGTTTCAAAGAGTCTTTTGGCTGCGATCAGGCATTCAAATTTCAGTTCCCATGCACTTAGACTACAGCATTCAGATGGGTTCAAACAGCCCTGGGCAACCCTTCCTTCCACTCGGGTGAAAGGCAGAGGTGCTTAGAACCCCTCACATAGCGAAGGACCCCACAGAGATCAGCATCTTCCCAGTCAGTCCACGGTAGGTCACTCAGAACTTGTGGTCCAGGACGTGGGTCCAGTTGGGAAGCATCAGGTTGCCCTCTAGCTTCAGTCATAAGTTTTGGCATCAGCTGACATACTTTTTCCCCAAATCGACGGGGATACACCCTGAGTTTCAAAAGGCGATTGAGCAGGTCTGTTCCCATGGTTTTTTTTCTATCCAGGGGCATGCCAAACCGACCAGCATGGTAAGGATTTGAATGGGTGAAGCATCATTCGGAGATGTCTCAAAATTACCATCTGTTTGGTCCCCGAAAGACACCATTTTACATATATATATATATTTATTTTTATATATATATATAGGGAAAAAGGTTGCTTCATTGGTCCATTGGGGGCCTCATTTTGACACATATCGCAATTTGAAGAACATATATGGTGACGTCTCAAAATACAGGGATGCTCGAAACCTTATATAATTCCAAATATGCAGAATTTTTTGAGCATCGTATTTGGCACCAATTTTTATATATAGGACATTCCCGTGTATACGTATATCCATTTGTAAAATGCCTCTTTGGCTTGCCATTGCCCAAAAGCACCCAAAAAGGAACCCCCCACTGGGGAAGGGGGGTTCCCTTTTGGCACTTTTCCTTTGGGAGGTGGTTCTTTACCATATTATACAACACCAAGAAAGACCCCACTCAAGACTAACTTGTATATAATTTTATACCTATAACATTTGCACAATAGAAAAAATACCCTATATTTTGGTGTATTTTTTTACTGGTGTATTTTTGCCTGATATATATATAGAAACAAGCCACCGGGAAAATTTGCTATAGCTCCCCTGGCAAATAAAAATATATTTGTTAATTGGTAAATGGAGGCACCCCAGAAAATGTCGATTGCCAAATTAGGGACTAGCTTCGCCATACCAAGCTCTTAAAGCTTTGAAGAAAAATGAAGAAGACATATTTTCGAAGAAAGAACCTTTGTTTTGTTTGGGAGGTATGTCAGTGGCGCAATTGAGTATAACACAACAAGGGGATCACGACGGGGGGCAACACCGATGAACCCCAGCCAACTGCAATCACAATTTGAAGCTGGATTTTTTGATGGCCAACAGAACTTCAAATAAGGGATAATACGGGGTCCATCCCAATATTCAATTTTGTTTCTCATATAGACCTTGCATGGACAAATACAAATACAATCCCAAAATACGGGCAAGAAACTGAGTGCTTTTCAGCGCTGAAGTGCCTTTATAACTTGGACGTCCAGATTTGGATACGTATTTCACAACCGTTTTCGTGGTGCATCCTTTCCTGTCCTTCTTGGTCAATTTCCCGAGATTCAGTCGATCAAACCAAACGTTGTTGCAAAGGCCGACATGCCTCTTTGGTGTGCATGCGCCATAGTGACGCATCCACCACGATATTTTAAAGACCTCAAAAGGGTGGAAAGAGCCATGTGCTATATTTGGAGGTGGCATGTAGGGGTGTAGGATAGGCCGACAGTAACAGAGGTTTTAAACAAGTTGATCAATATATGCATATATATATATATACACATACTTGGGAATATATACTTATAAAGGTGTATATAACCAAAATGAATCCAGATCACTTCAGACCTGTTCCCATGCTGCTAGCATCCCCGTGTGTATCATATGTATATATATAAGCTATATATGATTTCAAAGGTTTTCAAAGCAATCTTTTGTGGTGTTTTACAATCACTTATGGTCCGGAAAGAAGAAGCTGATAAGGTCAGGGCAACACCCTAACTGCAACCTCCCTTATTGGGCCCAAAAAATTGAGACAAACCTTTAATCTATAAGCATATATTGTTCAGACATATATCTTTTAAATTTGTGGGGATCTAATATGTGTTGCTTGGTCACCTGTAAGAGTATATGTGTTCAATGGTTACTTTATATATATATATATGGATTGTTCTGTAGCTTTGTAAACCTTATAGGTGCCACTTCCCAGCCAAGCCCTCTTGCGATCAAAGGTCTCGAATGGTCATCGCGAAGGACGTCCAGCGGTGGAAATAAGGCATCAAAGAACTGCCCGGGTTCTCTACCATAAAGGATATTCCCAAAGATGTCGCTAGCATCGCTAACAACACAGTTCTGGC